GTCGAATGTGACGCCCAGGTATTTGACTTCCGTGGAGTAGGATATAACGGTCCCTTTTAAGATAAGCGTATTGAGGTTTTCCAACTTTCGCTTCCTGGTAAAAGGGACTATTGTTGTTTTATTCGGATTTACCGATAGGTTATTTTCTGTGCACCATTTGTCGATGATGTTCAGAGATCTCTGTATTTATAGATGATACAGTGCTTTGACATGGACCAATGAAGCAAGCTACCACGTCATCTGCGTAGCCTTGTATATCTAGGCCTTTTTCAGAGGCTTGTAATAACAGTTGATCAACCACTAAGGACCATAACAGTGGCGATAGGACGCCGCCTTGAGGACAACCTCTTGTGGTTTTGAAGACTTTTGTTGATCCGTGCAGGCTAACGTTAACTGTTCTGTTTAGGAGCATTGCTTCGATCCATTTGGTCGTTGTGTTGTCGATCCCTTTGTCCCTCATTCCTTTGGATAAGGTTTCAATGGTAACGTTGTCGAATGCTCCTTCAATGTCTAGGAAGGCACAGAGAGCTATCTGTTTGTCCTCAATAGCCCTTTCGATCCTATCTGTAAGTTCAAGTAAGGCAGTTTCTGTGGATTTGCCTTTTTGATATGCGAGTTGTTTTGCATGCAGAGGACGATTTTTTAGGGGTCCATCTCTTATGCAAATGTCAATAACCTTTTCCATACTTTTCAGTAGAAAAGAGGTTAGGCTTATTGGTCTAAAGGATTTTGGTTGGGCATAATCCTTTTTACCAGCCTTGGGAATGAAACGGACTTTAACCGTTATCCATTTTTCTGGTATATATTCCCAAGCGTAACTCGTCCTAAAGATTTTTACCAGAATAGGTATAAGGATGTCTCTACCTTGTTGCAGTAGGACTGGAAATATGTCATCCTCACCAGCAGATTTATATGGTTTCGAAGACTCTATTACCCAGTTTACGATGTTTGGTCTGATGTGTTTTGCCGCTCTCTTCCAGTCTTCATTTGTAGGCCTGGAGATGCGTTTATAAGGTATGATATTTATAGTGTCTTTTGGTATTAATACTGAGCCTGGGAAGTGTGTTGACGCTAGGAGTTCTAGTGTTTCTTCCGCAGTTTCAGTGAAGGTCCCGTCTGGTTTCTTTAGTAGTCCCAGTTGATTAGATGGTGATTTAGCTAAGACTTTATGGATTCTAGCTCCTTGAGGTATTCTGTTAATTTCCTCGCAGAACTTTCTCCACGATAGTCTTTTTGCTTTTCTAATTTCTTTGTTGTCCGCGGTTAGGGCATTAGAATATCGGTCCCAGTTTCCGGTCGTTTTAACCTTATTGAATAGTTTACGCGTTTCTTGCCTCAGTTTACTGAGTTTGATATTCCACCATGGTATCTTGTTGTTCCGTTTGATCTTCAGGGGGCAACTTTCCTCATAAGAGGCTTTCATGGCTTCGGTTATTTGATCGACAGTGTATTCTAGCGCTTCACATGTTCGTATAGATTTAGGTATGTCTTTAAGTTTATCCTGGAGATTTTGTTTATATAATCTCCAGTCTGTAGCTTTAGCATCCCTATAGTTGATATTTTCATATTTGTTTGATGTGTTTAGGTCGAAGGTGATGATTTTATGATCGGACATTGAGGTTTCATCACTAACTAGCCAATTGGTTATCATCCTAGCTAAGTTATTGGTAGCAAGGGTCACATCAAGAACTTGTTGCCTAGATCTAGTCACAAAGGTCGGTTTACATCCCCTGTTAACTATTTGAAGGCGGTTGGTTAGAGTAAAGTCATGTAGTAACTCACCTCTTGCATTAATGTCGGAACTGCCCCAATTGGTGTGGTGTGCGTTTGCATCGCATCCGATGAGAAGTTCAGCGTTGCAGTCGTTTGCATATTCAACCACTTTCGCCAGCTCTTCAGTTGGGTCATTTCTCTCTCTATCTAGGTAAGCTGAGCGTAGGATTACCCGCCCACTTCCGTTTTTGATGTTTATGAAGACTGTAATCATGTCGTCATTACAGAGTCCTGGTATACATAAATAATTAATATTGCTATTAAACAAAATACAAGCTCTTGGTTTAACTACATTGGTATGATAAACTACCTTGCCAGAGGAGCCGAGTCCGGATACCATGTTGTTATTAGCAAGCCATGGTTCCTGGATTAGAGCTATGTGGAAGTTCTTCTCGGTGAAGATTTTTTCAAGGACTGCCGTAGCAGCCTTGGCGTGGTGCAAGTTAATTTGGCCCACATGTGTATTGTTCATTGTGTGTTGTGTGTTGTGTGTGTGTGAGTGTTGTGTTAGTGTTTCTGTTGACGTGTAGTGTTGATAAGGGCGAGCGTTTAGAGCATATTGATTCGGCTTTAGGACGTCAGAGGCGTCCTACGCCGTATCGACATGCCTCGCCTTCCCTTTTTTTGAGCTTTGTGATCTTTTATTTGGCCCTCCTTTGGGACGTTTGACTAAGGCTGGGTTCCCGGGCCCCGTCGCGACGTTAGTGCGTTTCGACGTGGTTCCAGATCCCGACGCTTGCGGTCCCGTTGGAGTGGTCTTTTGCGGGGGCATGGTCTTTGTTGCCAAGGAGTTTGTCCCCGGTTTAGGATTCCCATCCACATTCGTTGGAATACTCTTCCCCCGGATGCGGATGACAACCCTTTTAAAGCCTAGGCGCGGTCTGAATTCCAGCGTGCGCAAAATCCTAATTGAGGCTTCATCGATGGAGAGGGCGGCTGTAATCTCATCATCATCTTTAGCACTCAGGATCTTCCACATTCCACGCCGGTCTCCAGATCGTTTTGTTTCTCCAGAAGCATCAGAGCGTCTTTAATTGATTCCGCCTCTGATTTCGGGATAAAAACAATGCCTACTTTAGGTTTGGGCAGTTCGTTCTCACTCATGAGAGAGAGACCTGCCTCCGGCCAGGGTTTAATGCTGGTTATTTTGCGCTTTAGCCATTCTAGGCTATACTCCTCCTTAACGATAATGAGGAGCCAGCCCGGCTGAAAAGCGCAAGCTTCTAACTTTGGTGTCGTCTCATCTTTGGGGGCTTCAATAACCGCCCTTAGGATGCTACGTTTTACCAACGTTAGTTGTTCATCCGATATAGATTCCTTATTACGGACCCTATTCGGATGTTTGTGAGGACATCCCTAAAGGACCTCCCTTCTGTCGCTGACGGCCCACCCATCTGCGACATCTCGGCGTTTGGTTCAGTGCTTGTCGATATGAGCGCCCCAGCATCTGAGCCTTCGCCAATGCGAGAGGCCTTTTTTGGATTATCCTTGGGTGATTCCTCTTCGGATCTATTCCGTTTGATCGGTTTTCGATCCGTCGAAGTTTCATCCACATCTTCGGAAGCTCCCCTCGAGGCGGTTGCCCTCGCCATCATATCCTCAAAGCACAGTTTATAGGTCTTGATTGGGTCCATGCCCTGCACTTTGAGGCGTCTGAGGCGTTTACGAGCCGCTCCCGTGAGATTCTTTCGTCGATTCTTTCTGATTTTGGCTGCAGGTACCGCGGACGTTGGTGAGTCTGTTGATTTCAGACTGGCGTCCTCAGTACCGGTTTCCATCTCAGAGACCTCAAGATCGGAGTTCAAGGTGATTGGTAGATCGCCCTCAGCTTCGATAAATAAATCCGATAAATCGGGTAGTGAAGCAGCTAAGCTAATTGATGGTTCTGGTCGTTCCTCGCCCAGAGAAGGTATGTATGTTTGATTTTTATTTTCCATACAAGTCCCACGATTAGCTAGGGAAATAAAAAGTCCACCCGAGCAGAGCCCCGCATGCCCAGGTAAGGCTAAGTACTACTCCATGATTGCCTTCTCACTGGAGAGTCACCGTTTGAGACCAAGCGTCCCCTTGGCCACGCATCCATCGGCACGGTACGTATGACGCCTTGGATTGGGATGGGAGAGGAGGGAGGAGGAGGGGTGAGGGAAATAGGTTTTAGGTGTTCAGGATTTTGAAGGAATGAGGATCATGGGAGAAGGTAATGGGAATCTCTCTCCGTGTTGGACTGCACTGGAGAGATAGCGTCACTCCCTTCAACTACCTGGATCCCAGGGTTGATGGTAATGTGCGATGCCTGTTAAGGATCCGTGTATTACCAGGATGTACGACGTGGACGTAGGAGTGACACTTGACGGTAGACGATTTTGACCCAACATCGCACACTTGGATCCACATCGGCTGCCCTACATCCCGAGTTTACTCCATTAAATTGTGAATGTGTCAATCAAACAAACATGCCTTATATAGACACAGAGATTTTATTATTTTTATTTTTCAATAATCATCCGAATCATCGCCATCTTTCATTCATTTCATTTTCATTTTACATGTAGAAATATAATTTATTCACTTGACATTGGCAAAATTGTGCGAAATGCGCATATAAGCCATTAATTAAAGAAGAAGAAGAAGACACAGAGAATTATTGATGATAATTTACCGTTAATACAAGTAATGTTGGAACAAGGAATTGTAGTAGACCAATCAGGCAGTCTGTCTGTAGTCTAATCTAAATAAGTCAATCATCATAAATAAATTAATCAAATAGCAATGACAAGAATATCATACCAAACGTCAAAAATCATTTGAATATTTCCCGCTGTTGTAACTTTAGGTATGTCCGCAACTTTATGGTTCGTTTTATTTTTCTTGTTACTTACGAGTGGGGCGATGTATGGATGATTCCACGTGCTGGAGTAACAATGACAGTAGTGAGTACTATACTTTACTGACAATCGAATGCGTTAATAAATATTTATTTTATGCGTTCCAATTATCAGTGCGTCCGACAACAGCAAAATATTAAAAATACTAAAAATATCGTTGCCAATTTAGGATTTTTTAATTAAATTGAATTAAATCGGTCCGATTCGAGGGTTTCGATCCGATATGAACCGATCTGAAATATCGATTTTTTTTCTCTAATAATCGATTTCAGATCGACATGCCTAATCCCTAGTTTTGTGACGATCTTGATGTGGAGATGTTTTTGAACTTGGGTTTTATTCATAAATTAAGATTATAAACGTAATTGAATTAGTCAAAGTTCAAACTATATATAAAAAATGTCATTATTTACAAGGACACAATTCCAAACATATCAATTTATTATAGAATAACCTGTAGCAATGGCTGTGTGTGGTCTAAGGACACTGTTGTTGATAGTTTGCATCCTGGAAATGGTAATAATTCAGTGGACATTTTATTGATACTATCGATTTGAATCGTTTATATTCTAAAATTTCTCTTTTGTCACCAGATTATAACTATACAACGACAAGTATTTGATTTTTTGGGATATATGTGGTTGCCAATAATTGCAAACTTTGTGAATATATTGCTGATTATTTTCGGCTCTTTTGGAGCTGTACAATATATAACTAATTATCTTCTCGCTGTAAGTATTAATCTTCATTATAATTATGATAGTGACCATTTCCATAAAGTTACTGGAATATGGGTCATTTGTGTCAAATGATAATCAATATTATTGTTTAAAATTTTATTAATAAAATCATTGCCTATTCTAAATGGAGAGGAAATCCAAGTTACTCAAGTTAGTTCTAGTGAGTCATATTTCTAAGTTGATATCAAGTTTGCAGATTTGATAGTAGATTCATTTCTGTCAAAGAATTTTTAATCAGTAACTGATCTTTTGAAATAATTTTACTTCAAATTTAATACTATTGAGATATTATTAGAGATAATACATAATCATACAAGGAAATATTTATTAATATTAGATTAAATCTTATTACTCAATCCAAAATAAGTAGCTAAGATCAGAAATAATATATTAAAGTTTTATTTTATACATTATCTAGGAATCAAACCAGGGACATTTTGAATTCTATGTGAGCTACTCTGCCATGGAGGTCATAAGTTAAAATATAAATTGTGGAAAATTTATTTATTTTCATGGGTATTAAAAATACTGTTGAAAATCATCTGCTTGGAATTGTTCCTGGTGATCACCCTTTTCCTATCAGCTCAAGTCAAAGTCGGGGGCGAGTTTAGAAACAACTGTTTTTTGAGAAAGACAATAATATTATTTATTGGACATCACATGCAATACTTGATAAACAGGAAGTTTGCTTTAAGGGGGACACAACCCCTTCTATGGCCCAAAATTCAATATCAGTAAATTGAATTTATACCTTTAGAATTACAAAAGTAAAATATTCTATAATTTAATTACATAATATATATATATTTTATTATTTTGCTTGCAGTATGCTATCTGGAGTTTTATGTGGTTAACATGGAATATTTTCCTCATATGCTACTACTTAAATTTGGGCTCTTTAAATAGGGTAAGTAATAATCAGAGGTCGGAATTAGGTAGAGTTATTTATGTACTTGCATCGAAACTGTTGATATTAATGTGGACCTTCCCGGGATTTCTAATGGACAATCCCGTGTGGCCAACAATCTTACAACTAAATAATAATAACAACGTCAGAGATAGACAAATAAAACAAAGATAATTAACATAAAATTTTTATTAGTTTACATTAATTTACAATACAAATTATTGATAGTCTTAAGCAAATTCTCATACGCAGATTTCGCCTTTTTTATAAATACGAGCGAATACTTTTGCTTCTAGCCTAGACTCATGAGGTTTTGCCTATTCAAACGGCCCATCAGAATCATTTTCCTTGTCCGATTGATTACCTGAAAGATTTGAAGTGTTCGCTTCCGACATTACTGTATAACTTTTGTGAGAATTAAAATATATAATCATAAGCTTTTCAATATTTTTTGGCTTCAATGAATTTCTCCGAACATTTAAAATCCATTTGTACATTGAAAAAGATCGCTCTACGTCAACTGAGGTGAGGTTAGCAAATTTATACACTTCCTCCTCCTCGTCATTAGTGCAGGAAGAAATTTTTTCTGCTATATTTCTGATAGTGTCCAAATCAGGATTTCTATCCATGACTTTTTCCATTTTATCTTCTAAGCTCTCACAATTTGCCCATCTCAAAGCTAATCTCACTGCATCAAATATTTCAAATGATTCCATTAGAGAAAGATCGGGTTTCTGTAGTGATGTCAAAGCTGTTGGTATAATTGAGAAAATTTTCGTAAATACGAGACAAATCATCCTTAATGTTGTCATTATTATTAAAAAATTTTAAAGCATTCTCTATTGATTTTGCCTCTTGACTGTTCAGCACAGACAATACAGATTTAATTTCATCGAAATGCTTAGCGTAATAAAATGCTGCATCAAGCCAAATACCCCATCTGGTAATTACAGGTGCAGGAGATAAAGGTAAATCCGGACACATTTCTTTAAAGATTTTAATTCTTTTTGGTGCCTTCAAAAAAAGCTTTTTTCATATTTGAAATTAAACTGTCAACATTAGGGTTCTCTTTTCTAATCTGCCCCGCAACAAGATTTAGAGCATGGGCTAAACATGTGAAATGCAACATTTTTGGAAAATTTGATTTTAAAATTCTACCAGCTGATATCATGTATGCCACACTGTCTGTACATAACATTCTAACGTTATCTAGTTTGCTCTCAAATGAACTTCCCCACATATTGTTTAAAGAATCTTGAACACATTGTGATATCGTTGTTCCATTTACAGTATCTAGCATTTTACATGCCACTAAGTAAGGCTGATGGCACCTACTAGGTTGTAATGGTCTCACCAACAAATGTACGACAGCTCTTCCTAAGAAATCCATAGTTTCGTCTACTGAAAGCCATAGCTTTTTATTTACAATCTTACTTTGCATCTCTTGTGCTTTGATTTTAAAAAGCTGATCCAGGTAAACTTTTCTCAATAAGGATTCAGTAGGTAGTTCAATATTTTTGCAATTACAACACAACACATGTACTTTTGAAAAAATGTTTTAAATACATTGTTGCTCAGTTGGGACCATGGTATGTTACAAAGAATCATAAATTCGATTAAGTCGAAGTAAAATTCTAAAGAAGTGTGGCGCTCGTTCTTCGTGCCTTTATGTACTGCTCCTTCTACATGTCTTTGGACGTTACTCTGACGAGTTGCATTCAAATGTGCTTCGCATTTAGAGCAGTAAATTAATCCACTTGCATGGTCGTAAAATAGCTCCGGATTATCTTTGATCCACTTGTTGACGGTGGCTTCTTTGATTGAACTCTGCGCCATGATAATACTTTTAATCTGGAGCAAAAAAATTATAAATTTTAGAAAACCGTATGAATGTGTTTGTAAGTATGTGAGAGATAGGGCACAACAGTTGCGAAGTTTAAAAGATCTAAGCGTGCATAAATTCATACAGATAGACAGACGGCGGGAAGCGAACTTTGTTTTATACTAAAGTTTAAAGCTAAAAAAGAAAATCAATAAAAGATTACCAGAAAATCTAACTCCAATCGTTAACCATATAGTCAATCAATTAAAAAAACGAGTCCCGTATGTTAAGCTTCTTCAGTAGCATTTGAAATCATTGTTACTTTATTGTGATTGTATCAAAGAACATCTTAAGTTAAACAATACCGATTTTGATAACAATACAAGAAAACGTTCTACATAGGGAAAATCTATTTTAAAGGAAATTTAATAAAAATATGAACAAGAAACTTACCAAGTATATCACCAATTTCAAATATCCAATTATCCAATACAGTAAGGCCAAATCAAAGTCCGTTAATGCGTGCCGAAATAGTCGTATTAAGTAGAGTCCAGAATCCAGTAAACGAGCCAGGGTCAAACAGGATTGACTACACAAAACACAATAGGAAACAAGTGAGCGCATTCGACGAACCGAGGTAAGCGAATGAGCTGAGTGAATGAGTAAACCGATTCATTGCTAATAGATAGTTTGAATGCGGTAGAAAGAGACACAATCTAGTACATTACGTTAAGTGGGGAGTGCTCCGCATTTGCGCTATTGTATTCTTTTGTTCTCACAAGCTATGTTGTGCGAACTACAAATGTGGCAACATCGCGCGTATTGGTATTTTGCAACTTTGGACATCCGATGTCATTGATGTAAGTTTGGCAACGTCGTGCGTGCAGTAGTTTAAATTGTGTAAAAGTAAATAACTTTTTATTTAAAAAATCACGGGATTTTTTCTGCTCTTTAAAATTAATCTCGGGATTTGAGGCATATCCACTTTATTCTTTCGCTGTATGAAATCAGTGTAAGTACATGAATAACTCTACCTAATTCCGACCACTGGAGATAATATTAGTTTTTTAAAGTCATTCATATAAACCTTTGATTATTTAGAAAAAGGTAAATTAGTATTATAAATATGGTAACCCTGCCTGCTTCTATTGCATTATGCACTGGCAACAAGATGATTTGTCTACAAGCAAAGCAGGCAAGTATCGCCCGATTATTGAAACCCATAGCAATGGTTTTATTAATAACCAATTAACCCATAATAAAAGTGCAGGTGTCACTATATCTAAAAATAACTTCTTTATAGTAACCTCCTCTTCCCAATGTACTCTGTGATCTTTTTTATTATGCTTAACTTGAAATTTCTTATTGTCTCAGTATTTCATGTATCTCTAGTCGGGGGCAGCTGGCTGGTTTGCGCGCCGGTCGGCATTGCACGCTCCCGCTTCGTCGGGGGGATACATTTTAAATGTCTGATATGTACACCCGACACGCAGAGGGAACTGCCCTTCTCAGGGCGGGCCGAAATGGGGTCGAACCGCGCGGTGTGTGGCCTTCGGGCCGATCCCACGCATCGCTTTCCATGCGAGGGACATCGCTGAGTTTTAGTGAGTAAACTCCTGCTTCTTGTCTAGCCCCTTTGGGGGTGGGGCAGCAGGAGGAATTCCACATAACCCGTGAAGCCCGCGCTGGGTGTAGCGGGTATGTGTAACGCATTTCTCAGCATCAAAAAAAAGTATCTCATGTATACAGTTTGAGTTTGTAGAATTCATTGGAATAAAGAAAGATTGTATTTTGGATTACTTACTTTTGTATTACTTTAAAATTTATTAGGATTTGAAATTATCCTGCCCTTATAATAATCAATGACATTTTATTTCTTTTATTAAGAATGTGGTTATATGTTTTTTTTTTCTTATGGTAACTTATAGAGATCATTTTTATTAAAATAGGAAAATGGGTTGCTGTCTTTGGGGACTGATAGTGTAAGCTGGTGGGAGTGGAATGGTTGGGGATGCCAACCTGTATGGGAAGAGGCAGCAAAGCCTGGGACATGGCGACCAACTCGAGTAGATGGTTGCTTCATGGAATGGCATCATGTGGAGTTGGCACAATCTGGCCTGGCTGCAGTGCTGACTGTTACAGCTTTACCACTGGCAATTTTATTAGCTTTTAAGTCATTCAATAAACATAAAATGGCGTCAGGTATGAAAAATATGTTATTTACCTATTTTATAAAGCTAGATTATTTATAATTTACATGCATTTTTTTTTACAGATAAGGGATCATTATCCCGCCGTCCAGTTTATACAATTGAATTAAGTCCCACCGAAACTACAATCAGTGAAAGTTCTCTTAAACCAATGACGCCTCGCCGTGTTAAACGACGTTCTGGTTCTCGTGGCACAGGTTCTTCAGTACGGAGATCAAGGCGGTCTTATAGAAATAATGGATACTTAGCATCAACTGCATCGCTGCCACGCGAATCAAGGCCATCTCGACCTACTTCAGCACATTCTTCTTATTCTAACTTTCATGGAGCTCGTCCATCTTCATACCACGCGCCTGAGAGGGACAGTGGTTCAAACTCCCAAGATACTTATGATCCTCCACCCTCCACGGAGTCAGTACCTATAATTACAAACAGATATGATACTATTCGCCGCGTAAATAAAAATATGGGTTATGATGTCACCGGTCCTTATAAAGAGCCAGATAGAAATTATGAAACTGAAAGGAATTATGAGCACAATAGAAATTATGACAACGAGAGGAGTTATGAGCCAAATAGAGATTATGAAACCGAGAGGAATTATGAGCCCAATCGGAATTATGAGCCTAACAGAAATTATGAGCCTAATAAGAATTACGAATCATCAAGAAACTATGAGCAAAATCTTTCAACTTATGATAACGTGGGACGAGGATATGATGCAATGTCAAACTATGGTAACAAAGTCGACACAGTGTCACCATGTGAATCTCCTTATGGGGGTGGGGGATATAGTGGGATGGGTGGATATCATGGTACGGAGGCGGGGTGGGAAGCTCCGCCACCGCCAGCGCCACCATACAGTGCTCGGGCAACTCCACAGGCGCCCGGCCCTCCCGCGTACCAAGCCACAAGTGACGCTTATATGTCTTAAGTCTGTTGTATGGTGGTATTAAAAAAATATTAGGTACCAACTCACATATCAGTGGGCTAATTGTCTAATTTTAAAATCTATCGCAATCCATTTCAATTTGACATTTAAGTCTTTTTCTTCTTCTTTTTAATTTATGGCCTATTTGCGTTTACACAATTCCACCAATGTCACGTTTGTGGTTCTTCACACGTAAAGAAACAATAATAGAATATGTCAATTTTGAATAAATTATACTTTGACGGTTAAATAAAAACAATACAATCAACAATAAAATAAATTAAAAATAACTCTGAGCGCGTCTATCTGATTATATTGTTAAAGATAATACAAATAGAATGTATGCAGAAAACAAAGATATTTATAAATTAAGACTATTATTGATTGCTAGGAATTTAGATAAAATTTTGAATGGCAGCCCATTCTCCATACTCAAGATACATTTTATATTTATAATACATTTTTTAGGTACTAATTGACTTGTGATTGCGATCATGACGTTTTCTTTGAGATACATTGAATGAATAAAATTTTTTGTTTCTTGATCGTTCATCATTTGTTCATTGCTACTAAGATTTTTTGTGATAGATTTTCAAAATTAGACTTTATCATCTCACAGCTTTAAACGTGTATATTAATTTGTCACAGCGTTCTTCTAATTACGTGGTTTATGTTTTAATAAACCTATGCCAAGAATAATGGCAAAAAGCTCAAAACATTTCTTTGTGTATTCAAATCGGTCATATCTTTATAAGTGTCATTTGAGCTTTCTCATATGTGCCTTTCGCAAGTGATACGATTTTTAGATTTTAAACTTACGAATACTTAGATAAATAGAAATAAGCCTTTGTTAATCATGTCTCATCACAAAATTTATTTTATAATTTTATAAATATATATAATTATTTTGTGAAAGTTTTCAAGTATCAAATATGTTAACACTTCATTTTAGTAAAGAACACTATATTATTTGTTCAAAATCAGTCTCTTGTTTTGATATTCTTATACATATAGAATTGGGCTATATTTCTATGGTTTATTGGTTACTAGCTCGGTAAACAATACTTTTTACTATGGACCTTTGATTAAAATAAAAAGGAATGGTGCGACACTAACGACCTATATATCGGAACTGCTAATTTAGTACATTTTACTCACAAATTTGTTGTTTATCGACGAGTGTCATGAACACATAACAAACAATATCTGTAAAATATAAATTTTTTAATAATATGTTAAAAATAATGTAAAAATATTTTGAAATTAAAAACAATAATACTTCATCATCGACACTATAACAAATATATGAGCGGTCTACTTTCAAAACCATCTCAAAACTTTTTGATAACATTTTTTTTTCCTGTATATTAATTAAATTGATATTTCTATGATATTAGTAACTCAGGTTTAACAATTCTTTATTGATATCGCCCTATACGCATTTACCTTATCATTGTTTTGATCTTGTTTTTGTGACCTGTTAATGTGCGTTAGGTTTAATTTGTAATTTTACATATAAGTAATTAAGTTTTTAGAACCTTATTAAGCTGGAACTTTTTAATATTTTCATATGTCAAACTACTAAAGATTATTAAGTCGTTAATTTGTTTATGTATTAAATACATTGCTTATTATTATGTAAGTTAAATTTAGCTTTAAAATTTTGTATACCTATCGTGAAAAGACATTTTCTATTTTTGTAATTGTGTTTCTATTGTTGATCTGCTTTATGTACTTATTTATATTATTCCATTTTCCTTTTTTATGAAATGGTATTTATGATAAAATAATCTCATCATACTTTTTTATAGTTAAAAATGAGCAACGAATATCTTGCCATTACTCAATATCTACCTAGTTTATAGAATTTGACTTATCCGTCCAATTAAGACTTCTATTTAGAATTGTGTTTGTGTTTATCAATATTCGCACTAGAACGTTAGTTAAACAAAGACTTCTATGGCGACGCTGGAAAGACAAACCCGTAGTAACCCGCAAACCGAAAAAATCTTATTTCTGTATTAATCGAATAAGGGATATCATATTTGTTACCATGGATTAGATTATTTTTTTAAAAAAGACAGTGATTCTGCTTTGAAGATTTATTTCGGTTTTACGGGACTATATGTTTGCGTAGTTACACTAGACATTAGACAAGCCTAGACACACTAGACAAGTTGTTCTGGAATTAAATAGAAGAAACAGTAAGAGCGCGCGTCGCCGGGTTGCAGTCTCGCTTACTAGTAAGCTGCTATCTATAATTACGTATGCGAGATGGCTATAGTACTAATATTTTCCAGTAGAATAAACAACCACTGGTTGTGAATTAAGTTAGTAGACGATATTTTTACTCACAAGTGAGATAAAATATAATATACAAACCGCTCGTTGATGCGCCGCAAAAGTGTTGACACGACAGCTGAGAGTATTTTAGTACCGCTCAACTTGTCTAGTCTTTTGGCTTAAAACAATCTATTTCTCTGAATAGTTTAATCTGTCACAGATCCATTGACCAATATTGTGTGCCTAGAGAAGGTAACTGAACTGCGAGCTTTACTTGTTTTAATTCACGACTTATAGGTTATATTTGTGCTGTACGATTTTTATACCAAATATACACCTACTAAAAACTATACCTAGTTTTCTTTATTAAATTTTCGTTAACATATTTTATGTATATCATATTTGAGTCGATTTTTGCTTAACAGATTGTAAACCATATGCTGCGAGGACGTGTAGGTGGCTTACTATTGTTTATTCATTGCTTTACTAACTGTGGTCCCTATAAAATAAATAAGTAAAGCCTAAATTTGTTTGTAAAATGAAATATGTCAGTCAGGGTTTTTTATGTAAAGTGGAAGTATAAAAACTAAACAAATACTTGATAAAATGTATAGACAGATATTATATAATCAATTTTTCATCTCCCATTTCAACAATAATTCCGGCGATTACGCATAATAAAACAACATCTACTTGAAATACAACTCTTTCTTTACCATATAAACGATATTTACTCATTTTCTTAGTAGTAGTATTTTTCTGGTAAAATCGGGGTGGTAAATAAAACTTGCGTTTGAGCATTGAAATTATATTCATAACAAAATTTTGGTATTGAAGAATAATTTCCACAACTTCACAATAATTAACAATGACTATAAAACATATCACAAAATACATACCTACATTATTATAAAAAATACTGGGAATTATTCCTAGTGAAATCGTGAAAAATGCATATATCAAATGATTTTTCAAGACCCTTAAGACAAAATACTGTTTTTATACAATTCATTTAGAAAGATAACGGCATAGTAAGTTATACAATACGGTAAATATCAGTAGCTAATAGATTTTAAATCTTATAGCGTTAACTTTTAAAATCGTTTGCAAAAATGTATAAATAAAAAAAAAACCTTTCAAAAAAGAGAAAGTTGTGTGAAAACATTCTCTAATCTACCAGCATTTAATTTGCAATTATTTTAGACGAATCTTATAAACAGCTTTATTACTCTTTCGGTGCATTATGCAAAAGTAAATAAATATATAATAATCAAACGAAATTTATTTTTAAGATCAATTAGTTGACGTATCTTCGGAAGACATTAGCAGCGATCGCTCATGTAATTATTATGGTTTAGATTTCATAAAGACAATGCTTATCTCGGTCTAGGACTTTGAAAAACTAGATAACCAGTATATTGATGTAACATTATGTTACTTGGGTGTCCGTTTAACGTTTAACTTTTCAACGTTTTATCAACTTAATATTAAATAACATTAACTGTCTTGATAACGTTATTGATACATGACGTTATTTACTCTCTGTCGTTATCTAACGATAAGTTACATCTCTTGGTTTTGTAAATGATTGAAAGTATTATTTAAAACGTTATTCAATATCGTTTAAAAGACTGTCATATTATAATTAGCATTAAAAATATAACGTAATGAGATTAACGTTATGAAATTGTTGTAACATAGCGTTGTAACGATAACGTTAACAAGCAGTTATCCTAGCTAGTTTATGGTAAACTCATATTGCTGGCAGCTGTCTTCTCTCAGCTGGTGTCAGATGTGGATGCCACACGTCTACAATGAGAACTAGTCGGGTGCCGGTGCCGTTATGCCAGACTTCGTGTTCGAAGCTATCGTCGAACATTAAAGTTTTGCCTTCACGCCACTGCCTATATGGGACGAAATAATTATTGTTAATTTCAAAGTAGTATATTCACAAATCCTAATTGTATTACAAATCCAAATCTCAAGCTAAGTGGTTAAATGTCTGAGGCGTATTATATAAAAGTGCGAGTCGGATTAGCACACGAATAGTTCCATGCCGGAAGCAAGCAAGAAAATAACGTTTGTTATATGATAGACCCCCTTAAATATTTGTTTGATTTTAATTTCATATATTACATATTCTGTAAATATTTCAAGCGTATACCGATTATCGTTATTAATGTCGATAACTCTTAATAGGGTTCCCCTTTTACCCTTTGGGTACGGAACCCTAAAAATGGCGTAGGTAGTGTAACGTCGGTGTTAAAGGTAGTATTGTATAATTATACTATAGGTAGGTTTACTCTCTCGACGATTTATGGTCAATGCTGGCCGCATATATTTTGAATTATTGCTTTTTCCGCGTTCGAATTCGCGTGGTCGTGTTTTGCTGGTTGATAATCTTTGTTTCTGGTCGAGACCGGCATAGAGTCAGTTTCTTAGAATTTACTTACAAGTGATTTGATTTGATGTACATTATTTGCTAGTAAAATTGAGAGTTTGAAGAATTACACCCAAGATTTCATTGAACAACCCTGAGCGACTTCTGATCCCACCATTAAACCCAGATCAGAGATAATATATAGTTTTTTGTCTTATCATTGACTCTACCCGAAAATTCGGGATCTGAAATATGACGACACCTTTTGAATGCAGTAGCTGTTCAGACGTTTGTATTTGTGTTATGGATATGGATAGATTTTGAAAATACTTTTTATCCTGGAAAATGTTCTTTGGGAAAATGTTCACACAGGCGAAATGGCAGGCGTGAACAGGTTTTTTTTATATTAAACATGTATTAATTAAGTCTACCGACTACCTACATCTGACCAGTGTTATCAGAATTTTCCGCCACAACATCCTCTTTCATTTTACTGCAGTTAAGTTTCTACTAAAGCGAAAGGGCTTGTTTAGCGCCATGATACTGATCAGCTACCTATGTATTTACGAGTTCTTCTACCCTACGAGATAAGGTTTCTATACAGTTAAAGGACTATAGTAAAATAATATATTGGAGGCCGTAAAAGGAGGCAGTCTACAAAAAAAAAAAAAACAAAAGTGTATTACCTTAATTCTTGATCCACTCTTATATATGTATCTTTGGTATTGCTTAAGCCTAAATGCATTCTCAGACGACAGTTGGTCGGTCCGACGTGTGGACGGACGTGTGTTCCCGCTTCCATCGCACTAAACTTTATCTGTCCACGGCGACATCCGACAGCCGCAATCTCACCTTTCACTATAGAACAAGTAACAGGTGCCCTTTTACATCTATCCGGAATCTCACGACCGCGCGCGAACAGATCCAATTGTGACCACTCGCCGCGCTCTTTTAAACCTTCCTTCTCTTTCTCGTACAACGATTTCGCCGCTTCCGCCTCCTTCAATATTTCCCTCCAGGACTTCTCGAGAGCTTTAGCCAAGTTAAGATATGGAGTCTCTTCTATTTTCCACCAGGGAGAACTTTTTAAGCGCGGAACATTATACAGCGATCGTTGAGCTGGTGATAAGAAATGTCCAAGTGCGGCTCCGCGTTTATGTACTTCGTGAGCTTCGGCGAAACGGCCCAACAATAATAATGAATCACCGTAGTGGTAGTAGAAACGGGCCTCGTTAGCGGGACCCGTGTCGCCATCTAGGGCTTTACTGAAAGCTTGGGCGGCTTCCTCGTAGCGATTGTGTCTAGTCTTCAATACGAATCCGTAATGTGCAAGGGCTAAACGATCATTGGGCCATCTTTTGAGAGTCTCTTTTATAGAATCCTCAGCTAAATCAGCCCTGAAAATTGATGGAGCGTTATGACATAAAGTGTATTTTGAGAAATATATTTTGAAAGGTGTTTTGGTCTTGAAAATTAATAATTGGCTATTTGACAACTAAAACAATAAATTATAAGTATATTATATATGTATAAAAACTTGCGATTTATAAACATAGGAGGAAACATAGGAGGCCACGACTGAGTATCGTATGACGTCACATTTCAATAAACTAAACGTTAACGTTTTTGTTGAAAGTGCATCCAATACTCATGTTTTTTGAAATTTGATATAACGACTAGAAATGTCACGTGACTGATTGTTTTTGCGGGAAAATTTAACAAAATTTTTAAAAATATATCATTCTTGTATTCAATAAGTTTTTGGAGATAAATTAATGTGACAGTGGTATAATATGATCATAAGAATGTTTTAAAACTCTTTTCCCTAAAACAGTAAAGCAGGTAGCTAATTTAACGGGGCTCTAAATGTACCCAAGCGAAGTAAAATAGAAGCTTAATAAATATCATAGGTATATTTAAATAATAACAACGCTAGCCACTTACCTATTGGCCATAAGATATGAGATGGTCAAGTTATTTCGGTATGCAGGATCATTTGGAAATCTGCGTATTAACAATCTGTAAACAGGCTCCGCGTTTAGGTAATTTCCTGTAATAAAGAAATATGATAATATAATTACGGGGTACATATGAAAATGTATTAATCTGTTATTTGATCGTGATAAAGTTTATTAGTTAGATATAGATAGTTATTTTTTAAATCCTAATTTAGCTAGAGATTGCCCAGCTAAATCAGGGTAAATCACTTTAAAATGATGTTCCATGTATGTAATTTCTTCTCCAGCACCACCACATAGTTATCTGTCTACTTGAAGGTATGTACGTATTGACTTTTAAACTGTCGCGTTGCATTACAATAAATTCTAAAGAACGGGTATTAACACTATTATAAAGTTAAGCTTTGAATGAGAAGAATATGAATGGAAACGTCACTAATATTTTTAAAAAGTGTCACGACCACGCATCACGATGTTGTTCCTAAGTGTGTGTATATCAAACTAAGAAAGGATATTTGCTTTATTTATCGCATAGAATTTTGTTAAGTCTGAGACGTGACGAGTAAGTTGGAGAAGAATGCTATTAACGCGATTAGACTAATAGGTTCTTAATCATCATCAGTCTTTTAACATCTCCATTGCAGGAGCTATGGCCTTATGAACGGTGAAGGAGAATGGGCCATTACCCTCTACGCTGACCTAACGTAGATCGGAAAGCACAAAAGTAGTTTAACGACGCCTTCGACTATGCTAACGAGCTACTCGATTCGATTAGTCTAATCGAATTAATACTTGTTTTTAACGATTTATCTATAGATCACAAACTCACCTCGGAATTGTATTCTATCCAATACGCGTTCGGATATTTTCAGGAGTTTCTCGTCCGACAGACGTTCGTTCATCTTGAGCAGGTGCAGGTAAGCAGTGATAGCGCGCGAGAGCAGCGAGTTGTCGCGCCTCGCTTCAGCGGCATGATCGAGCGCGCGCGCCGCTATCCACCGCGCACGCGCACTATCGCGCAACCGGTCACTGCTCGCACGCTCCACGGCAACACTCCATTCACCCTCGTTAGTTACAACACACTCAAGCGAGCATTCCCACGCGCACATCCAAAACAGATACTCTTAACGCTATCTTTATACGTCCAATTTTTACTTTTTAATATGTTGATTGGGTTTAGTACTTATTTTTATATCTTAACTGGCAAGAGTGAATAGAGCAAGCTCGTCCCATAGTAGATCTCATTCTCATTTAAGTTCTTGGGCTAGACTGAGGTCAAATGTGAGCCCATTATAAATAAAAATAAAACAATAATTTTATTTTTAATACAGAAAAGTGAAATTAAGTCTGATATAATAAAGAATGTAATTATAGATTATGGCTTTTTATCGATTAAGTATTATTTTCTTAGTTTATTATTAAATTTCTCATACTTATAATATGCAGTGAAATAATTAAAGCTATATTAATATATTGGTATATTTATGAATAAATGATATTTAAGTATAACGATATGATGATCTAAACTATTCTAGAGGGGAATCGTCAGAAAGGCATCGGGGGGAGGTGACGCGGGGTGCGGGCGCCACATCCTACCCGAAGTCTCGCTGACGAGTCGACAGGCAAATGGCACAACGAACAAAGTTAAATCATAAGAAAGTTAGATGCGGAAAACTAAATTAGTCCAGCCAATCCTGGAAATCAGTACAACCGACAACATTAAAGATCCATCTTAAACTTCTAGTTCTCTACTCATGGAAATATACAGGTCAAAGTATATTTAATAATAGAGTCATTATATTGCATCGGTGTACTCGTTTTAAATAAACATGCGAAGCTGTTTGGAGAATTCTAAAATATCGTTTTAGCATGCTATTAATTATGTATAAAGGACCACAAGTAACACACTCAGTATTGTACAGGTAAACTACACACAAAAAAATATTTCAAGTAGGATATTACGAGTACAGCGACGTATTTTATAATTAAAGTAATCTCCATTATTATAATACTAATGAAAGTTAAGTGTGAAAAAAATTATAAACGTATATAATGTTGAGCACAAATGTGTTGGGATTCTTGTTTTATTTCAACTTAAAAATACAATTTTAATATTAAAAAGACACTACTTTTATATCTTGCGTTTTGTCTACCCAAATGTCACTTCTCAAGTGTATCCTATTCAATATCTCACCCACGACCTTTCACGAGTCTCTCGAGTTCCTTAACGTATGCAGTAGAACAATTTTATAAGTGAATATCAATTAAATTAAAGCTATATCACCCGTGCATGATGCAGCTTTCCATAGGTGAAAGAATTTTTAAAATAGGTACTTTAGTTGCAGAGCTTATACAATGCAAACAAACAATGAAATAAGCTAGGAAGTTTTTTTACTCGAGTGACTCGAGTAACAAATCCTACTCGAGTAGGATCACTAGTACACCATCGAGCTTCTGCCCTGTGTTAGTTGAAAACGAGAAGAATATTATTTTTACCCGTATTGGATAATTAGCTAGACGGAACCCTGATATCTTCTTTAGTATCGAGAATATTCTATTTTATGTTACCTGGAGTAAATCTCTTTCCGCGGAGTCAAGTTGATCGCGCCAGTAAGCGTCACTGGGTTCACCGGGCCAAACGTCATCTATACTGTTGCCTCCGTCTTCTAAAATGAATTAAGGTTAGAATTACATAATTTGTATCTTAATTATTAAAAAAATAATAATGAATCAAACAGTACAACAATATATTTGCAAATAGCTTAGTATGAAAATAGTACTCCAACCATAAATAAAGGGCGGTTGTTGCTGTTTATAATTAAAATTATAGTGAGATTAGTCGTCTTCTCGCGACTTCGTAAATTATAGCATATGTCAACCGCTTATAATGTAGTTTCCTGTAGGTGAATGAACTTCAGAGTGGTCCAGTGATTTTTGAGCCTATTCGATGCAAACAAACAATCGAACCTTTCCCCTTTGCAATATTTGGATAGATACGAATTATAAGAACGTAAATTCGAAAATTATTTATTATTAGTTTCAATTTAAATAAAATTATTTAACTTAATCTGAACGAAAGGAATGTTCGAATAAGGCAGTTAGATAAAGTGCAAGTCTCTGGCACTATATCGTCAGCACAAGTATTATTTTAAAAACCAATCTTAATATTTTCTAGTTCACCCGTCCAAATGTCAGCCCCGTATTTAAAATTTATTTGTTACCATAACATTTTCACCTCAATCGGTCCAGTAGTTTCGCAGCAACGTAGCTGTTATAACTGCACAGACAAACAGGCGGACCGATTGAACAGAGAGATAATCAAGTATCCCAAAGTCTTCCGATTTTTGTTTTTAAGGTACGAATAATTGTTAAACATATGATTTAACTACACAATCATGTACAGGTTGAAATTTTGGAATACTAACTATGATATTACTTTTATTATGTATGTAGTGATCTAAAAAAACAACTCCACTCACATTAGGTTAGTCAAGCCATTTGATACTGTTAGTTTTGTTAATGTTGGGACATGCACTTGCCATACAAAGCGACAATACGAGAGCGATATCATGTTTACTATAATGTTTTTGCCCGGGACGCTCAGGTTCGGGCAGTTTGCCGTATTTCGCTTCAAGTCGGGTCAACAGTTCCGCGTCGTCTACATCTGAGATTTCTTCTTCGTCTTCCTCTTCCAATTCTTCCTCGAGTTGTTCATCATCTATTATTTCTACGTCATCCTCTTCAAGTTCTTCATCACCTTCAGGCTCGTGTGTAGCTTTACTTTCTACGAGGGGGGCGCTCTGTTTAATAATTTGTTTTGGTTCTTCTACAACTTCCTCATCGTCCTCAGGCTGTTCGTCATCACTATACAATTCTTTATTATCCTCTGCAGTTACTGTTGAATCTTGTATTTCCTGAGACCAAGAAATAACACTGGTTACGAGCGCCAAATAAATGGTTATGGTTATAGTGTTAAAATATTAGAGACTCACCTCTTCATCTGAATACTTTTCTTCATCTTCACTTTCTTGCTTTTTTACTAAAGCAGGCTTCCCAGAATTATCTGCACTTCCTACAACTTTATCAAAACTGCGTTCCGATATTTCCTCGAGAATCTTTTTGACTGGAACTAATTAGTAACTATCATGAAGCATAAATTATACAATACTAAACATTTCGCTACTATTATCATATAAAACCTACCAGATTTAGAATGTTCTTCAGGTATTAAAGTTAACCGTCTGTCACTTAAAGGAATATCCTCAGTAATAGCGGGCTCTTCATCGTCCAGTGCATCTGTTGCGTGAATAATGAATGGAGGTTTAAAGTAAGAACATATATATTAAATGTAATAAGAAAGCTAGGACGAATTTATTGTTTCAATATATAAACTTCGTGATAGGAGAAATTATATTTTGTTTGAATAGGGGATTGGACAACTTTCTAAAGTTGTGCTAAAGTAAAAGTTTGAGCGATTATTCCCAAAAAATATAGTATTTTAACTGTTAAAAAACCGCGTAAACGGCGCTTCGGAGGACATGAGTTATTTTGTGGGATAAACAAAATGGATTTCAAGTAAAATAAATGCTTTATCGTCTATAGTACTTACATTTAAACTTACAAATAAAACAGTAAACTGACCTACGCAACCTGTCAAAAATCAAACAAATCATTAGGATTATTCTGCTCTTTGAATGTTTCCTGCGCTTTTCCTAGACAGTGTTACTAGTAATTTACCCACAAATGACGTCACGCGTCGAAGTTTGACAGGTATTTGATGTAAACTTTGTCAGTGGCTATCAAAATTAGTTGTCAACAAGGTTACGCAATAGCCCTGCTGATTGGTGTTTCATTTGACGTGAGAAACAGACTACAACCATTGGAAAATTAGGTATATTATTGTTTATCGATTTTAAAATATAAATAATTGTTGTTTAGCGAAAATATTCGGCAAATAATCTTTAAATTTCATTAACTTTTTAATCCCATTGAATTTTTTATTTAATTGCTGTCCGATCCCCTATTAAATAATGTATTTTGTACGCACCACGCGAGCGCGTGGCCCTGCGCATGACTGCGTGCGTGGCGACGAGCAGCGCTCCTCCCACTGTCAGCTTCAGCCACACTGTAACACATGACACGCTTAACACAGTCATGCTACAGATATGTCCTAATAGCTCATAATCAAATCTGAACTGTTTAACATTAGCTCTTGATTATCGTAATGTGATTACAGTAGCCATTTTGGTAGATTGATAAAGATGATAAGTCTTACGCAATTTTAACCATCATCACCAGCCCTTTTACGTCCCCACTTCAGAGGCTCAGGCCTTCCTTATGGATGATTAAGGAGGATGGGCCGTGATCCTCCACGCTGGCCCAAAGCGGATTGGAGGTAAATTTCAACCAAATTGGAAACAAATTACATACTTCAAGTCCCCGTGAAATCATTACTGATATATGCAATAACAAAATCAGATTGTCTCATCTTGCCAAAAATTGCGGTCACTGAATTTTCCAGTTAAATTACCTACATGTAAAAAGTAAGCAATTTATGCTTTCACCGAAATTATCCGGCAACGTCTTCCGTGTGTCAAGAGTCAGTAATTCGATTGTTTTTATATATATTTTTATTATTATTTTACGCAACAGACGAATGTTACAAAGCTAGAGATTTTCTTTGATGTATTCAGAGTCGTGTTAAGTGTGCGTTAAGAGATTAGATTGATTATTTGACTTCAATTAGGATGCCAACAAGCCGATTCTTATTGGAATTATTACAAACTCACGCTTATGGTTAGCGCGGGTAGGTATAATATGAATGTGGTACGAGCTAATTTGTTTAATACAATGCATCTTAGAAAAAAGTACCCTGTTAGCTTTAGAAGAATGACACAATACAAATGTCATAAAATCTTGTGACATGACCGCCTCGAATTGAATCTGGTATATTGAACGTGCACTAAAGGATTTAATCTGATGTCAACCAAATCGAATTGCGTTTTAATACGCTGTGTAGGCTGTGTAGGTCTTTTAACTGAGTGCAAGCTGTGCACTCAGTTAAAACAGAAGACAGATTAATTACCCAGAGAGGCAAAATTGGGTCATTCAAATACATTGCAAGACAGAAGGAGTCCTGATCTCTAGGGACAAAAATTTCAACATACACAGTAGCCCGAAATTTTTTTTTTTTAATAATGCAAATAATACAATATGGAAATATGAGTGCTATTTGTTTGGATAAAATGACAACCAAATCGAAACCTACGTGGAAGGCCTGCTAAGTGAACAATCATATAGCCTTACGAAAAAGGTACCTATAATGTCTGGTACAAAACACGCCGTGTAAGTATGAAGAGGTTTACCTTGTAGTTTATAAATAGCAAGTATTTATAACCGATTGTCTTTTATATCTGAGAAATTGAGAGTTTGATATTCATTAAACCAAAAATATGTAAATAATCATAACTGAGAGACAGTGGATATAAAGAGACGCCTTAAAATAGTGAACTGAAATATTTAAACAGTAAAGCGGGAAAAGCTGTATTTAAAATGTTGAAACAAAATTGATATAACAGGTTGTCAAAATAGAATAAAACGCGAAGATGATAGTGAAAAATTAATATTAATTAAAGTAATTGTTTAAAATCCGTTACGCACACGTAAATTCATTCTTATAAATAAGGTAGCAAGTGATTATGAAAATATTGGTATTAAAAATTCAGTGTGTCTATACTGATCGATCTTACCTTTTGGGAAGCTGAACAACGGAGAATGCAGTATTATAAAAGTCTACAAGGTGAAATAAAAGATGTTCTATTATTATTAACATTTATTCTTTACAGATTTTATGTGGTTCGTTAGTTATATGAATGGAAAATATTAACACCTCTAACTTTTAACTAACGAGCTACTCGAAAGAATTAATAAAGCCGTCAACTAAGGCCAAGCAACACAGCCAGGAAAACATTATTGATGATTCGTTTAGTAGATATTAAAGTAGAATCTACATCGTATTTTGATTATTTCTATTAGGGAATATTTCTAAGTTGTGTTAGTATGTGGTGTTAATGCATTGAAAGATTAAAGTTAAATTCGTGCAATAAAGACAACAGAGTACTTACTGTGAGATGATTGTTCTTCTTCCCGGCGAAGTTCCTCTTGACGTTTTTCATATTCTTCCTCTTCGGCTAACGTGTCGGGGGGTTGTTCGGATGATATCTCTTCTTCCACCTAGGACAGTAGTGACAATATATGTAATATTATCAATATGTAGTATAAAGCAAATACACGATTATCTTGTTCCCAACCTCAGGTAATGGTTTCCCAGGTAGCGCGGTTATCGGTTCCACTTCAGGTTCTTCGATGTCATCATTTTCTAGATATTCATCTTCCTCTTCAGCGTTGTCAAACTCTTCCTGATCAGATTCTGCCTCACTTAGATCACCTGTATTATTTGATTTCAAGCATTATTATATACTTTATTTAAAAATACAAAATTAATTGTTCTAGTCACCAAATTACATACAGTATAAACCATACAAAACCATACAGTATAAGCAATATTTAGGTTTTGTTATCAAAGACTACAATTGTTCATTAAAAATTTCGTATTTTTCGTACCATCATCATTTTTATCATCTGTAACACCATTATCATCATCGTTGTCTTCAGGTAAGGATGGCAATTCCGTTGATATGGCTTCTTCGTCTGGTTCTTCTGTTTCAAGTTTCTCTACTTCAACTTCTTCTTCAGCACTGTCATGATCTTCTTCATGTTCCTCATCATCCTACAATATGAAAGTAATATTGTTTACCACATAAAATACTATTATAATCTGAGAATTAAGCATGTTATAATAATTAATATTACTGATTAGTAGGCACTCTTAAAACTATACAACTATAGAACGAAATGTATTATATTTGCGTACACTTGTAACATATTGTTTTTTGTAGTTGATGAAGCATTTCTTTAGTTTTCGTTATTAAATATTGTTTACATGCTCCTGTTATAGAATTTAGATAAAGCTCTAAACATAAAACTGTTAATGCCAATATTTTCTAAATTATTATTTTTTTTATTATAAAGCGCACACACGCGTTACGACGGTTTCGATTGTTTGTGAGCACCTCATTATTATTTTCATTGGAATCTTCTAGGTTTTGGTCGTTATCATCGTCATCATTATTCTCAATACTATTTTCGTATTTAGCATTGTCAATTTCATTACTTTCATCATCGTCATCATCAATATGATCTCTATCATTTTCATCAACTTCATATTGGCCATAATAATTTTCTTCATGACTATCTTCATTATCCTATTTTAAAGTAATTTTATATCATTAGTAAGTTTAAGCAATAAATTAATTTTAAATAAAAATATGACTGGTTTTTAACTTAAATTATTTCACCTCGTCATCAGGCTGATTTTCTTCTCCACTTTCATCACCATCATTTAAATCGTCTTTATTTCCATTATCTTCACTTTCATCATAAATAGTTTTCTTTTTATCACTATAAAAGTCATGTTCTTCATCTTCATCGTCCAGATCTTGTTGTTCATTATCATCTTCATCTTTGTCTAATCCATATTCATCATCATCACCATCATTTTCGTCGTTATCTAGTTCCTCGTCATCATCATCTTCATCACTTTGTTCTATCCTTTCATCATCATCTTGATCATTATCTTCATCCTCATCGTGATCATCATCTTCAACTTCATCGTGATTTTCGTCTTCTAAATGGTTAGCTTCATGGTGTTCTTCATCATCATCCTATTAAGTTGACTAATATGTTGGAGTACATTTATGGCATTTGTTTGTGATAATTAATTACTATCCTCAATTGAATATTTCAGGAAAATACCTTTTCTGTTATACTTTTGTCAATATTAACATTATTACAGAATTAAACTACAACACACTTTCAGGATGGGTAAAAGATAAATTTCTAAATTATTTTAATGTGTGGGTAGGTAAATTAAAGAATACCTTTACTAAAATAAACCTATGATCATCATTTTTAATCTGTAAAAATCTGGAATAAAAGAGGGAATTTATGAGGCCTATAAATATTTTTCTTCTTAGCACTTACATGATGAGTGAGTTCTAATGTATGTTCATCATGATGGTCATCATCCGGTGCATCTTCAAGCCAGCCTTCTAAAACACCAGAATAACGAGACTCCACCGCATTTGCTTCTACTGCAATCAAATAATAATCAACATATAGGTATTAGTGTAAATCAATTTATATTATCATCAAAATTTATAAAGTATTTTAATAACAATAGGTACTCACATTCAGACAATCCTCTATTTTCCAATATAATTAATCCAATGAGTGTTATAAGTACAGCTAATAGAGAGAAGAATATAATCTTTGCACACCAGTGGCCACCAGTTCCATGTTCATGATGAGAGTGCATAAAAACATCCCCTTCGCCTAAAGCAGCTGCTGTCCCACGGGGTTCTTCTACTCCTAAATCATCTGAAATGAAAATATAATAGGTGTTGATAATAAGTATAAATTTGGTACATACTTGTAAAAACTAAACCACAAAATAAGAATAGGAACATACCTTTTTTTCTTTTTTTGTCTTTGCGTTTCCTTGGTTGTACGTCGCCTGACATGGTTCGATCAAATCTGGCGCTTTGTAAGCGACAGAGATCCACTTATTGTTTCATAACCGTGAGTAAACAATGCAATTTCAATACAATGAGCTTGCAAACAAAAGCACGAGACAGAGGAGGATCCAAATGCGCAATTTTCATGGATAAAGGACTGTAGCGCGGCACGTTTTAACCTATACGATGTATGTACAGCTTTCGTGAATTTATTTTAGAATTTTAACCTAAAAATAACCGCTTAAGACAGCTGAGACGGTGGTGGGTAATGCAAATAGTAATAGTGATGTACGGCAAATATTGATCTGAATAAATTCTTCGTGACGTTTATGCAATTTCAGCAATTAGACTAATTGCATCATTAACCTTTAAATTATTGTTGTTATTGGACATAACGATACTTATTACGATTTGTCGTGATAAGTAGGTATTACCAAAGTATCGGTAGGTACATTCCATGAAAATCGAATCTCGATTCAATATCGATTTAACATACAGTTCATTCATCACTGAGACACTACTGAGATAGACTTATTGCAGTCAAGATACTTTAAATATCAAATTCCGCAACAGATTAAAAACTGCACGTATGTACATAAGCATAAGGTTTATAGTAAATTAAATAACAATTGATGAGTAATAGTTGTAATTAATGTTGCCCACAGCTTTTACTTATTATGATTATGAGATGCTGCCTTTTAAAAAATAACCTTTATGTATGTTCTTTACTATTATGAAAAAAGAAACCTAAATATGTTATTTATATATATATCTTGTAACTTGAACAAATCGTCAGTTATTGTCACACTGACACTTATAGTTTCATGTTTTCAGAATTTTGCTGACAGTTTGTTTGCATAATCATTGTTGTTACGAGGTTATGACAGTGTAGTAAACGCTCTCTAACTGCACCGGTTCCCGAATTCCCTGGAAGAAATACAGTTTTAAATTCACAGTTCCTATTTTTTATTTTTGTTCCAGAAGCACAAAATGTACTTATAAATTAGGCAAACATAATATCACATAAAGACCAGAAATGTGTGATCTTTTTGTATTGTTCAATGGTTACTCTAAATTGTGTAATGATAAGGAGATGTTAGCAAACTGTAGTTGCTCATTGATATTAGGAGATCATAATATTATAGTGGATACTATGACAGCATGGGATTCTGACAAAATAATTACAGGTTAATAAAAAAGTAAAAAATATTTAAGTTCATAGATACCTAAAAATATTCAATTTTGTTTGTTAGAAAGGCATATTTCATGGTTACAGCTTTGGCGGGCTACAACATTTTACCTGATATGATACATTATGTTATTTCAACGCATGGTCATTCTGATCACATAGGAAACAATAATCTTTTCCTGAAGGCAAAACATATAGTTGGATACAGTGTTTCATATAAAGAAAAGTACTTTTTGCACCCTTTTGAATCAGGTAATGGTTCATTTAGATATTAAGGTGTTGCCATATTCAAATAAACTATATCTATTAAATTTGTTTAATTTTAGGTGAAAAATATTATATAAACGAAAATGTTGAAGTACTCCCAACTCCTGGGCATACTCTATCAGATGTAACAGTTCTTGTAAAAACAAAAGAAGGAACTGTTGCTGTAGCAGGTACTTATTCATAAAATACCTATTAGTCTGTATATATTTGTGTGTATAAATATGCGTGAAGGTATGCAAAATTAACTAACCTTTGTTTACTGTGCTATTATAAATAAGTATAGGTTTTCAAATTCTTTTCTAACAATCTAACTACAAATTCTATGAAACATAAAATAAATGTCTACATTATAGGTGATCTATTTGAAAATTCTGAAGATATAGAAAATCCTACCATATGGATGTCAGCTGGCAGTGAAAACCCTGCCCTGCAGAGAAAAAATAGGGCGGCTGTTGCTGAAATAGCGCATTGGATTGTCCCAGGGCATGGTCCAAAATTCAAGGTGACAGAAGAAATCAGGAACTCTTTAAGTAAACAAATTTAGCTCTATCTGACATAGGTATAGTGATGCTGAACAAAATTAAGACACAACGATCAGTTTAAATTTTATTACGATAACAAATTTCACTTGCAATAAGAAGCAGAAATTAACAAATAATCTTAATAATGCTATTTAAAAATAAGCACACTCATAAACTTGAAAACCCTGTAAATACATTTCTTTTTCATTAAGAATAATGTATGAAGATCAGAGCACATGACATAGACAAAAATAATCTTATGACATAAATAAAAAGTAATGTATAACAGTTGTAGCCAAAGTAGCTAATAAACTATATTAAGTTGCATTATATTTAATATTTAGAACCTTAGTGACACCTGATTGCATTTACATATTTTAAAGCTACATAAAACTTGTATACAAAACTAACAATATACTGAAAAGGTGAAAGACGTCACATCTCTTTGATGATAAATGCTGTTGCTATATCCTCTATGCCAGGGATGCCCAAAGTGGTGAATATCGACTGTCAGGGGTCTAGAGCAAACTAAATTGGAGGCCAACAAATTTGAAAATTGAGCCCTACTTAATTAACACATGTTCTTATTTAAAACCTTCAAATACTACAGTCTATTAAGTCTATTTCCGGATAAGTTCATGTCTATTGTTACATTTTAATGGAGCAAGAACTGTTTAATAACGATATAAAAAACTAAACGACAGTTATGTTTTTTAAATTTACCAATGGGGGTTTGAGGTAAAAATTCGTCATTTGTTCTAAGCAGTTTGGGAATCCCTGATTTATGTAACGATAGAAACGAGATTCATTGAAAAGTAAAACTAAACCAAAAGCTTAAATAAAAGATATACCGCCTTAGGACGTTATTTGCGTTTAGTTAATATTTGTATTGATTTTATATGAGAGTTCATGTGCTTGAGGATACTATATGAATTACAGATCCAACAACGTTCGAATATATCGCTCACTGAATAGTACAGTGGCACAACTCAAAAACCATATTTCGAGAAACGCTCTCCGAAGTTATGAAAATTTAATATATTTATAATTATGAAAATCATTTTTTTTAGCATAACAGTTAAATCGTTTGTATTATATTATTTATGTTAAGTTTTTTAATTTTTTCTTTTAATTAACTATGGGATGCCACCATAATGTTGTGGCGTTTTTTCGAAATAATGGTTTTTGAGTTGTGCCACTGTACTATTCAGTGAGCGATATAGTCAAGACAAGTATTATTTAAGCAGATATTTTTAACCAATAGACGAGAATTTGAATAAATTAGCTATTTAATAATAGTATTCTTGTTATTAACGGTTCTTACTTCATTAAAATTCTTATGTGTTAAAAATGTTTGCTCAAGTAATTACTTTTACTCAACTATAGCTACGGGTGTAAGAACTTCTCGGAAAGAACTTCATGTACAAGTAGAACTATATGAAGCAGGGCTAATAACATATAATTCAGCTGGAGAGCCTTTAAATCATTAAGTAGTTTGTCTAAAATGAATCAAATAATAGTGAATCATTTACAAATTATTTACTACTAATTAAAATATTTTAATCAAGCAGTAATGTAATAAAAATTATAAGCATTTGTCCATTTCATGAACAATAATTTTAAAAATCGATAGTATATCAAATACATAAACAATATGTTCGATATTGAATGACACTTTCTAAATTAATTTTCTTACGGTATATTTGTAGCTCAAGGTTTGAAAACGTAGTATATACCCAAAATTCATATAGATAGTATAGTTCAAATTCGAATCGAATATGTAACAGAATTAACCAGAACGATCGTTACACAGTAAAAACTAATTTTAGTTTATAACAATGTGATTTTGATTGGCAAAAAAACAAAACAACGATTATCTGATGATAAAATATTAATTGAATAAAATGGTCGGGTTGTGAATTCAATTTTGGTTAATCCGATTACAGTTTTTTTTTTTAAATAGAAACATTGATATACTATATGTATAGACATTCACATTGATGTAGACTAGATTTTTGATATAATATTGATACAATAGAAATTTTTTAACATACAAATTTTTTTAGACGTTTAATATAAAAAAAAATTAATCAATCCAAAGTCGCAGTTGGTATGGCATAACATTGAAACTAATATAGAAAAGTAAGAAAATACAGTTTTGTTACTGATCACGATAAAGTTACAATTTAAAAGATACCCGGCTAGCCTTCTCGTAATTAACCATTAAAAATCCAACTTATGACAGGTGTCTGATAAATCCTCTTTATTCTTTGGGAATTTTAAAGTCAAATTAAATTTACTTTATCCATAAGTTGAGAGACTGTCACGAGATGACTTGCTGAGATATTTTTATTAACATGTGGCACTCGGTTGATACAATAATTGTTCAGATAAATTTTATATATTACTTCCGGTGATACCTTCTACAGAGATCCTTGTGTCGACGAGTCCAGGCCATAATTGCTGCGTGCAATAATGAAGAATATTTTTTTTCTATTAATTAATCTACCTACGTGAATCAATTTTATCACAGCCGAATTTCATTATACCCTACTAAGATTAAACATGCCCATATCCATTCCGAACATTAATTGATAGCTGCAACCAAAAGTAAAGACAAATATAATAGTTATTAGATAAATATATTAAATATAGGAAGACTTAATGGTAAATAAAATAATTTTTAAAGACTTTCAGCGAAAATAAACTATGAAATAAAATAAGTCAAACGTTTTTAAATACTTAAAATACAAAGAATACTATCCCGATATATTTATAATAAACTAGCTTTTGCCCGCGACTTCGTTCGCGTGATAAAGTTACTTTGAGCAGCATTTCTAACGAATATTTATTAATATACAAAAGAAACGCGAGTTTCGGAACGCGACATTAAACTCCTCCAACTATGTATTCTGTGCTCCAACGCACACACGCACATTGTTTTGATAGATATGATCTTTGACGTTAGGAACACACCTACATTGCTTAGACAACAGTGAGTGCTTGTAATTTAATATGAACTTTATACCATAGCAATAAAGCTCAAATTGACTACGTTTTAGTTACAAATCATTTGTATGGGAAAAAGAAAAGGGCTATTTTTAGGGTTTTTCCAGCAATAATTCTAATTTTTCTCGCCGTAAAAACCATCCTTGAACTTCAACGAACATTTTAAAAAAAGATTTGGCCAAATTGGTCGAGGCGTTGTTGAGTTATGCGCTTACCAACACATTTTGCGATTCATTTTTATATATATATATATAGATAAGTAACAAAATTGATATTGTTTACCTGTGGGTCAATGCTAGTAGGCACGGGTTGTGGTTCGTCAATACAAAGGTCGGAATCGGAGTCAGTTCTTCGAAGATTACTATCCTGGATAGATAAGGTATTGTTTAGAATGTACTTATGAATAATTGCATAAAAAGCTATGACTTTTATAGAAAACTAGCTTTCCGCCAGTGGTTTCACCCGCGTGGTCCCAAGAGAATTGTTTATTTAGATATCGATTCATATGACGACACGGATATAACTACAATGACAAATCAAATAGTAAACAACGTTTATTATGGTAAAGTTTTAATTCCATATACAAAGTTTAACTCCATTTTCATCACATTTGCTGTTTTTCGGGATAATATATAGCCAATGTTCATCACGCATGATGTAGCTTCCTGTAGGTTAAAGAATTTTTAAAATCTGTCCAGTAGTTTCATAGCCTATTCGTTGCAAACAAACAAATAATCAAATCTTTCCTTTTAATAATATTAATATAGACCTGTGCGTTTATTTGTACTTTCTTCCGTCGGCAAAATTTCCTTGATTATTTAAAACAAAAAGTAAAAAGAAGCCTGTATTTGTGTCGCCGTAACATGAAAACGAGTAAAAACTAATCCTATACGTAAGATGAGCATTAATATTAATAAAATGAAATAGGTGATCTATAAGGTATTACTTCTGGTTTCTTTGGAGTCTGATCCGAGTTTGTCTAAAGGAGGTTCTGCATATCGTTTTTATTTAAATTACTTACTCCTTGGGTGTACTGGTGGGTGGTAGTGAGGAGTCGCGCAAGAGGACTCATGAACGCGGGCAAGGTTTCAGTCAGTGGCGGACGGGCGTGAGTTAGCAGCGGCTTCAGTAGACGCGAGTCCACCGCGCCCCACAGTCGGGCCAACCTGGCCTTCTCGCCGCTTACATGGTCACCGCCCGCTCTCTCCTGGTACGAAGCCCGCATTTATTATATATTAACTAGCTGACACGCGTTGCTTTGATTCAGACGTGAATATTAAAGAACCATCTTTTTAGTTAGACCAAATGACAGACACAAGTCAAAATTTAATTCAATAGTTTCAGAGTTTATAGACATGCATTGTGACACGACACTTTTATATAGGTATATAGCGAGAGAATCAGAAGTTATTTTGCGGAAATTCTTTGCAATAACTATAAAACTACGATGATATTTGGTATTTCAAATGTGGAACTCCCACATTTCGTTTACACTTATGTGCAATGGTTGTCAAGGCCTAACAAATCAAGTGCAGAGTAACAGTTAGTGGTAGCTATCTTGAGATTCAGCGCACCAGTCGGCTGGCTTTATCGATTAATGAAATTAATAAAAAGGAAAAAAAGCATAGAAGAATGCAGAGAATTAACAAGCTAAAAAGACCAAGTGCTTGCCCCACCTCATTCAGCCTTCCGTCCCAGGCCTATCCTGACTTTTGACATTGATCATAAGTATATTAAAAAGGAACTAAAAGTCTCATTTCAATATGTGGGCTAAGAGGATATTAACCTGCCTTGATGACTGCAAAGATGCAGACAGGACCAATGGTTTATCATAACATAATAATAGCATTATGGAGAAACATATTTTATAATAATGATTACTTACCTATATTTTAATTGAGTAATTCACTAACTGTACTTTTTACAGATCTTATTTTTATTGTTTACTAGCTGACCCGGCGAATTTCGTGCCACCTTATACCCGATTTAAAATAAAACTTATATACAAACCGTCTCATGAATCGTGGAACACATAAAAAATAGAATGATCAATTTCACAAACAATGCAATTTTTCTTCATTTTGTTGATATTTTCATTACTTTATTGATATTTTGATCACCCATAGGTAACTCCGTTGCTAATTGCTTTTAAATAAGAGCGTCAACTTATATTGTTTTATTTTACAACAAAACAACGTAGAAGATAAAAAATAAATGGACCGTCTGTTGACGCTATTTTGTTAAAAAGTCGATATAACTCCGCGGTGGTGGAAAACTATACTAAGTAAATTAATATTACAAAATCTGCTTTCATATCAGTCGTTCTATTTGCCGATTTAAATGTCATCATGATTTAACCAGAAAAATAGTCATGCAATTGAATGGCGCAGTTCAATTAAAGATCTAGCCCAATCCAACTGGACGGCTGTTTTAACCAGTCGACTGCGATATATTAATAATATTGCGATGTTAATATTTGTGAAAGTTATTTAGTTTCATAAAACCACATACACCTCATATATTAACAGATATAAAGCATAAAATATCAATAAAATGTTGACATTCATTATGATCATGCTCCATCAAATTAAATAAAGGATACGATTAATAAAAATGAATCCTCCGCCTACAAACAAACATTTTTTTTTAAAACCACTTCAATAAAATAATGGATGATTTAAAAGAACTTTCAATAAGCTTATCTTAATAAAAAAAAAAATATTTACTATTCGTTTGGGCCGTGTTATATTACTGTAAAAGCTCAAGTAATGGGAAATCTTATGATGTTAAAGGGATAGTTACCGATATGATTTTTAACAGTTTATATAATTCATACTCATGCAGGGATAACTTCCGTATTACGACATTTCACTAAAAATGTCAGGCATTGTTCGATTAAGACAACTGATGAGTCAGATTATGATTATTGACCTTTTTCAGTAACATATTTAATAAATAAAACAAGGTACATACGTCAAAATAATCAAGTTGCCAAGGCATAGTGACTTGCTTCTCTCCATTTTCCCACTTAACTACCATGCGGCCAGTCTAGATATTGAGAAGGAAACCAAATATACTTAAAAAAATTACATGCAAAATGTTAAGTGCACAAGTTTAAAGGATTCACTCGATATTTTTTTTAAATAAAGTTGATATAATGTTAGTTTGTTATAAATACAAATAAATAAAAGTGCATTGTCTAATAAGAAATATCAAGTCAATGCTATTTAAAATTACTTATACCTTCAAATTCAGAAAGAGCGTGAGGTGATCAAATTCATCACCAAAATTAGTATCATTCAATATCACGTGCATATAACTTATTAAAAAAATATTAATAATGCATTTAGTAATATTCAGCGTGCATTAGTTTACTATATCAATCTTGCTGTTACCCTGTCACAACTGGTTTGTTGAGTTGAATCCAAATTTCGAAGGCCGAAACCCATATCAGGGGGCTGAATAACAAACATTTGAGTATATGTAATACAAATACATTTAAAAAAACTGTATAATTTTTTCCTTGCCATAAAGAAACAGCCAGCATTTTGAAATTAAAGGTAAAAAGTTTTCCTCATCAAACACCGATTCATGTTTATGAATGTTAGAAGTTAGTTAATATATTGAAAAGCTTTCATACAAACTGCGTTTTATCAATCAGGTTAGAATCAAGGGTAAGTTAAATGTTTAGTGCATGTTTAATGATTATCACATTTGTAAGTAGATATCAGAGCATGCTTATTAATGAATGAAATAAGAAATCACTTTATTGATTAGGCAAATTACCCCGAGTGTTTCAAACCTGTTTAGATAATGATGCGATGATAGATGATACCAATAGATGTATAGAAGGGTCACTTTCTACAAAGATTACCAGATATCTGATCGGCCGATTTCTGAATTCAGATTAAACAATTATTGTATTCAGATTGCAATTATTGTAACAGAAAATATTTCTGAATTCAGATTGTTCGATTTCTGAATTCAGATTAAAGTTCAGATCGCTTAAGAGTTCACCTTCTGGACACTATTTTGCGATAAACAAGTAAGCATGTTTACACCAGTAAGCTGTTAGTAAAAAGCGCATTACCAATATACGTACCGGTTGGCTGGAGTCCGTGGCCTGGTATAGCTGCCACAATAATTAATGTATTAATTACATGCATGGCACTGCTCGTTTGTGTGCCTTAATCATTGTGCTCTTATAGTACTTGTGCTGTGACATTTGACAGCGACTTTCTATATTTGTACAGAACTGTTCATTAATTAAATATTTAGGTATTTATTCTGATAGTTGGATGTGATAACACTATTATCAAATAATAGTTTTTATTAAATCAGGTCACCTCACCAACGACAATAAAATTTATAATTAGGTTAGTTTACATCAGGTAATAGAAGATGTAATCAAAAAAAATATCTAGACTTTTTTGGAAAATTAAGTTTGAAATAGAGAAAGCTGTAATAACCAAAAGTATTGCAATGTTCATATCACTTTCCATTTTTTTTGTATATATACATGTTTTATTACATTTTCGACTTGATGACGTAACTTCCAAATTCCTTAAGTACTTCTCTACACTAACTGAATAAATTGCCTATTTAATTTACTACCGATCAAACTGTTTTCACATAGCCATATTAAGCAAATAAGGATGTTCTTTGTTCAAATATATGTTTAATGTTTGTGATAGTGTACCTACAAGAAGCCTAAATCTATTTTGTTGATGGTAGCAATCCTGTTGCATTAATTTAATATGATTACAGAGTAACGCTCAAATAAATTCAAATTGTATTTGGATTTGTTTTTTTTTTTTAGTTTAGTGGTGGTACAACAGAATCGGCACCATTATGACTAAAGTGTAAGATAAACGAAACAACTTTTAGACGGTTTTATTACTTTTGTATTTAGTTTTATTGCCGTTTCGGAACCTTTACAGGTTCCATGTAAGACATAAGACTAAAGTGTTGATTGTTTTTTATTTTTAAAACCTTATAAAAGTTATTTCATTTATGGACAGTGCGCGTGAAATATAAGAAATCAATATGTAAGATAAACGTTTAATGACTAACTAATTTGCATCAATAATACTAAAATAAAAGCAGATGAAATAGCAACAGATTACAGCAGAAAGTAGGGATGTTGCGGATATTGACATGGACGCTGATTTGGATGCAGAAAGTTCGAAAAGTTCCTTTAAAAAAAAAAATAACTTACTGTATTTTGCACCTACATAAAGATTAGAAACAGGTCCGCAACAACCCTCCCTAGTAGAAGGACTAAGCCAAGAAAGTAAGCACAAGAAAATGTTAGCATATTTGTTAAAAAAAATTACAAGTGTATTTTAAAATCGATCGGTTGAGTTTATCAAAATTACTAACTTCTATGCTGCTGATGTAATAAGAAATATGTGTGCTAGTTTAAAAATATTAACAAATCCGATCTCGTCAATATACACATAAAAATACACTTACACTTCTCACATCACGATATGGAAGAGCTTCGTTCTCATCGTTCTGACCTTGTCTGTAAGTGAGACAAATCATACATTGAATTAAAAGTTCAAATAAAACGTAATTCATAAGAAAACTAACTAACTTCAGATACCAATATCTGACCGACCTTCAATTTTCTAGAAAATAAAAAGGGCAGGTAAAGGGGGGTATTAACGTACCCGGTCGGTATACGAAGATAGGCCAGGGCATGTGTAGCCGCCCCACCTTGTAGTACAACAGTAGCGATGACTATAAGCGATGTGGTGGTTAGCATCGCCTGCCGAGCCTCGGAGACAGTGTTCCTGATAGCTAGCGCGAATGACATAGCACCACGGAGACCTGTCCACAGACATTTTTCAGTGTATTATTGTCGGTGGATACATCTCTTTGATTGTAACCTTTATGTTAGAACAGATTGAGACAATCTAATAAATAAATCGGCCTCTATTTGCTTTTAAGAAGTAAAAGAGATCGACATATGCTGAGCTTGACACCTTTTTGGTACAACTATGGAACACGCATCGCTATTATTATTACTACTCAAATATTATTAATTTTTGTCTTTTGTGTTTTCTGTTAATTTTGATTCTCTGTTGGTTATCTGTAAGTGTCCTATGTGTTTGTACCAAATAAATAATTTTGATTTGATTTAATTATTTGTTTGAAAGGGAGCCTCAATTGACACATTGTCCTTCGTATTGTATTTGTCAAAGTAAATAAAAATGATTTCAACTGATTGTAAAATATCACTGTTGATAAATGTTTTATTTTTTATTTATTTCATATTAAAATTTTATTTATTTGACTGATAGATTTTAAAATTCTAATTTGTTGATATTTTGCAAGTAGGAATAATAATTGTATTATTAAGTAATTTTGGCATTGGATATATGAGTTTGTAATTTTATCAAGATTTACATGCTATTGCTGATGGCTAAGTTGGCTGAACTCAAATCATATGTCAATTTACAGTGTACCTCATTTAAAAGCGAATAAATTATTATTATTATTATAAATTTTTAGATCTTTCAGATATTTTCAGGTTCAATCTGAAATACATTATTCAAAAATTTACGCGTTTTATTAAATATTATTAATTTTGATATTTATTATTTTCATGAAAAAAAAACCAATAATAAATGGTAGCCTTTATTGATAGAAATTGGTCATCAATCTTCATATTGTGTTGAAGATACATCTCTTTAAGTTTATAACAAGAATGTACTGAATAGGGATGATGACTAATTTATGACTGTCTGTTCTCCCGGTAGATTTTTACGTAACCAATATATAAGGATACATTGAGTTGAAATATTACATGACGTCACGCCTTTTCATAATCCACAAAGTTGTAACGTACTGAGCCTAAACCCCTCAACTTCAATGCCAATTATCTAAGCCATTTCTTGTTAAGTTTAAGCAAAAAATACGTATCTAATATTTTCAAACCCAGGCTTCACCCTAAGTTATCACCAGAGGTCGGAATTAGGTAGAGTTATTTATGTACTTGCATCGAAATGTTGATATTAATGTGGACCTTCCCGGGATTTCTTTATTTCTTCTTTCATTGATGTAAGTTTGGCAACGTCGTGCGTGCAGTAGTTAAATTGTGTAAAAGTAAATAACTTTTTATTTAAAAAATCACGGGATTTTTTCTGCTCTTTAAAATTAATCTCGGGGTTTGAGGCATATCCACTTTATTCTTTCGCTACCTAATTCCGACCACTGATTATCACAATCTCTATATGTCAAAATTAACCATAACTTTAATGTTTATTAAAATTAGATTTTATTATTTTAAATATTATAAATCTGATGTTAAGAACTCGCCTGAGAAGAATAACATGTGCTGGAAATTCATCGGTATCGGCGGTTTCCGTCCCAAATTCAAAAGAAATGATAATGGATAAATATTCACAGCACGTCCAAGGGTGGAAGTGATCTGTTATAAGAGTTGAGGGCATTGTAATTCATGCAATGGATGTTACTATACATAACACATAATAGCTAAGTCTATCACGTGATAAAGTTGATCAAGTCAAGAAGTTCGTCTCAAAACGGTAGGTAAACTCAAAAACTAATGTACCTATGAAATTTCATGAGGTTTTATCAACGGATGAAATAATTCATAAGGAAAATTTTTAAGAAATTGGTATGATGATATCTTTTAAAATGTCGGAAAACAAAGCGATTTGGAAGCCTTATAAAAATTGCGTCAGTGTTGAGTAGGAACTGGTTGTCTTGTTGATATTATAAGTTTCAAATTATAAAAAAATCCAGATATAGATTTTTCTCTACAATACAGTAAAAGAACTTTAATTTTAAGTCACAGTTAAAACTTGTAACTTTAACCGCTTTTACTCGTTAGTCTAATTTCTTTGAATGTGCATCACATATAGTATTAATATTTATTAAAAAAAAAATAGCTTTCAGCCTCTGGACCATCGTGGTTCTCAGATGTGTGCAAGTCACTTTCCTTCACGTACAACCTGTGCATTATAAATTTTTAATAAAGGATACAAATCCAGCGACAATGAACCACGGATCGAAGTGGTGTTTGGGGAACGTGAACATAGATACACCGATGTATGTAAATATAAAATTCTCAGCAAGAAAATTGAGCAGTTCAAATAGTTGTTTCGTCCGGTTTCGTGAATCCGATGACAAGTTGTTGTATGTGTAATGCGCTTGACATATACCACAGAAGAGAACGGCAACTACGCCTGAAATATAAAAAAATACAATTAATTTTGATTCTTACATTTTATAAGAATAGAGTTCAAAACTATAGTAATTTTGATTCTTACGTATTATTCGGATAGAGTTCAAAACTCAATAACTATGCAGTATATTTTGTTTTAAAATAAATCGGAAGTATTTTGTTTTTGCATAATGAATAAAATGTGTGTATTACAAGAATCTAAAATTTTAATAAACTAAACCAGTACTCATGTTTATTGAAATATGACGTCATGGCTCGAAATGTCACGTGACAAGTTGTTATCACGGAACAATTAAAATTAATGATATAATTCAATTACACTTTTTGGTGAAAAATAAATCTGAAATACTTTTCCCAAACAGTCAATTAATCAATAGTAAAAGCGCACCAGTAAGCTCGCAAACTTCGGCGATTAGGAACGCAGCGTATGACATCAGCACAAACAGTGCAGACTCCAGGAGCGGCCATTCTCGAACGTGCGTGAACTTTGTCATGTAAACTGTGCAGTTAAGGAGATTACATAATACTTTTCTGGTAAAAATATAAGGTTCATAATAGGGATGTAGACAGCTTTTTTATATTTTTATTTTTGAGATACACATGAAATATATAAACATATATAAAAGTATCATTATTATAATAATTTAAAATCTAAAAATAAATTAAATTTTCGTAAATTCCCTCGAAAACGCCAACTTCTGTCATGGCGTCGCTATGACGTCACGCCTCTGACAGCCCTCTAAAACTAGTATCGTTCTATGTATCCATAAGGTTTAATTCTCAAAGTTCTGATACGAGTAAGTGGGACGTGACTACACGTGATGTTTGCGTTCCCGTGCACGAGTAAAAAAATATAGTTTTTTTATAGTTGAGTGTTTATCGGTAATCATACTTTAAACACTACCAGAAAAAATAATAATATGTATATTCATTGTCGTTTACTGTCTACACCCGTATTATATGTTATGTATAGTACTCGGTACTAAAGTAATTTAACCTACCGAGATGGCTTTCTGGTTTTTTTTATGGCAATGGATACGGCAATTTAAAATTGTGATATTTTAATACAAGGCACAGTTAATGTTAAACATAATAAATTATACCATAGTTTCATTATCTATGTTTTTGTTAATATTGAAAAGGATATCAATGCAGTGAGGCACCCCATTAAAGCACCAACTATTAATGAAAGACTGAATATTCCGATGAAATCACCAATGGCCCCGAGGAATGCTGTGATTTCAAAACCACCGTCATTAGAGTATCTCTTCTCATAGTTTTGTATAGCTCTGTAAATGCATGCAAAATCTTTGATATTACATAGAAAATTTGAGGAATCATCTGAACTATAGAAAGTACTGTATCTATAATTATCGATATCTAAAAACCATTTAGGTATTATTAATGTTATGTATTATATTATTTTTACATCTTATTGATATAACTTCTTTGCATGTCTTTATTATTTGTCAAATATCTATGTATGATTGACAGTTGAATAAACGGTTGATTTGTCGAGTTAAAGATAAAAACAAAGATAGTCCACCACTTGTCTACTGAGGAGTTACAAACTGTTTGGACACATCGTTGGAAAGAGAGGCGATAATCTCGAAAATGATAAAGACTTCGAGAAAGATGTCCTCTATGTTGGTTATATCAGATCCGTACGACACTCAGCACCACAGGGTAGGATTGGAGTAATGTGTGACGACTTTAATATAATTTTATATTATTACTAGCTTTCCGCCAGAGAATTAGGGAACTCTTTAATTGGATATCGATTCATATCATGATATGGATATAATTACAATAACAAATTCAATAGTAAACCATGGTTACTATGGTAACGTTAATTCTCTATACAAAGTTTAACTAACTCCATTTTCATCCCTTTATTTGCTGTTTTTCGGGAGAAAATATAGCCCATGTTTACCGTGCATGATGTAGCATCCCGTAGGTGAAAGAATTTTTAAAATCGGTCTAGTAGTTTAGGAGCTTATTCTTTGCAAAAAACAATAAATTTTGATACTGTTTATAATAATAATATAGATCAGTTGTGGATAAGTGTCGATATACATGCAGTGTTATAAAATAATAGAAAAGACTAATCAAACAATATCATTACCCGCTAAGTACTAAAGCCACTGCATCATTGAGAACACTCTCTCCAAATATCATGGCATATAGATTAACATCTACCTGAAATATTAAATCATTAAGTTTAAATAGGTGCTTTATTTTTTATTAAATGAGTTAAATAATTATTTATTATATTTTACATTGAAAATGCTGAATTAATCTTAGAAACGTACACAAAAAATATCATCCCCATTTCAAATAGAGAGGAGGTACATTAAAAACATTTTTTTTTAAATTTTACTTTATCAGCTTGGTTAATGCCAAATGACAATTTTCTAGTATCAATAGTTTTTGAGCTACACCGCGGATGGACGGACGGACACTATACGGGTTACTTGTTTACTACGGGACCCTAAAATGGTAGTAATGTACTTTTGTTTAATTTGTATGGTTTGTATGCAGGGATGAAGTAATTTAAGAAGACCAAACTACAAACAAAATTTAAATTATTAGTACAAACAAAAGCTTACCTTTAATTGTGAAAATATAGCTAATACAGTCAAAGGATCAGTTGGTGAGATTAATGCACCAAAATAGAGCGTGTCCAAGAATGTAAAGCTTGCGGCTAACGAAGCTGGCATGAGCTGAACGCAACCATACATAAGAGCACCGATGACGAACGCTGATAGGGCTGTGCCTACCATTGCAAATGTTAATATTGCTCCCAAGTTTCTGAAGAAATATTTCTGTAATTATATATAACATAATATATTATTGGCAGTTCACAAATATTAAAAAAAAGTATAACTTTTTTATTTATTTACTTTTTTGACGTTGATGCGCAGTAGTTAGCGCGTGGGTTGCGATAGGGTTGTTAAACAACTTTCGTAATAGGGATGACGACTGGGTAAAAAAAATGCAATTCTATTTAGTCCGTCAGTCAGATAATAGAAAAATATTAGATACGTATTTTTTTTTACTTCAATTTAAAAAGAAATAGCTTAGATGACAGGCATTAAAGTTGCGGAGTGGGGCTCGCTACGTCACAGTTGAGTAGAAAACGTACCCTAACGTGACGTCATGCGAAATTTCAACTCCATGTAACGCCGTCATTTTATGATTACGAAAAAAATTAAAAAATACGTGTTCTATATTTTTAACACTCTACCTGACGGACAAACAAACAAAAATAAGTCATCATCCCTATAGGATGTGTGCCGAAAATTTATTATCTCAAGCTTCGGAAACACCTACTAATCCGCATGGGGAACGCGTAGGAGTCATGGCCCATTCTCCCTATTCGTTTTGATTTGGCTCCATCCGTAAGGAGCCCTCGCAATTAATAGACTGGTGGTGAGAGTGTTATAGATGTTGATTAGGAACTCACCCTTTTTAGACAATACCCAGCATGGAAGATAATGGGTGGAAGAATGATGTTGAAAAATATTTCAGGATCAAATGTCGCTTTTAGATCTATCTCATTTTGTTCAATATTCACAATTTCACCTCTAAAGCTGTATGCATATGTTTTATTTGGTATTGGAATATCTGTGAATAAATTAACAATAGTCTGTATCAAGTAACAATTTCATTGACTAAAATAGAGAAATATTTATAATATAAAAATAAGCAAGGTGGCCTTCCTACAAAATATGACAATAGTTCGCTCTTAAGGGCATTCATTGGAGCGGAGCAGATTGTATGCGGAAATTAAATAATTATGATGGTTAAATAAAAACTGTTCCGATTTAGTGAAGTGGCACTCTTTAAGATTTTTTTCAAGGATCTATTATATATAATGATTTAATTATTAAATGATAAACATTGATAGTATATGTCAACAAATAATCAATCGAAATAAAAGATAGTTTTGTTACTTTTTGTAAATAAATTAATTTACAAAAAAAAAAGAAATGTTTTAAAAAGTAACAAATCTATATTAGGATGGAGGCACCAATTATCAGCTATGTCAACTTTTTTGATCTTTGAGTAACGAGATAATAAAATTCCATTAATACATTCGTTTTAAAAAACATTATTAAAATTTATATTATAAAAAAAAACATTAAGAACATATTTTTTAATGTAAGTTAAGAAAAATATTATTATTAATATTAACATTAGTATTTATGTCGTTACCGAGTAAGGCGATTTTCCCTAATATCGACTTCTAAAAGCCGCATGTGAGCCTGATATCGGCATACTGTTTCAATGAAGAAGTATATTTAAAAAAAAGATAATAAATAATAATTTTTTTTATGCCACTGTCTTAGAAATCAAAATAATTACTGAATAAGATCAACCGAACATTACACATAGTATCTTCAAATTATATGCATTAAACAGTGATTGAAATTACTTCTGATTTAACCATATTTTTATTAATTTTGTTTTAAAAAGATATAATCAATTGATCTTAAAGAAAAATGCTTAAAACAATTATCAGTCCCAGGTTACCCACTGGGAAAGGTCATAAGTTCGATACATTCTGTTTTTTCTTTCCTAGGCTTGGTTTTAGTGTCAAAGTCTAACGTCCTAAGCATATAAATGTTTTCTTAAAGCTGGCGAAACACCATACCCAGAAGTGATCCTGAATATTTTAGAATTTGGACGATTGCAAACTCAGGAATATATTATTTCGGCTAATAATTGTGCCGGTAGAGAAAAAACAAAAATCCAATGCAATATCAATAGTAGTTACTAGAAAACAAGATACACAATTATGAGGTGGTCGTTATTACGCATCGATTCCCGTTATATCGGCCGTAGCTGTTAGCTGACGTATGTTTGTACCTGTTCGCGCCTTATTATCAATTGAACTATCAAATGTTGAGGTATCCACACCAAGATATGGGAGATTATTCATAAGAATATAGAGCTACTCTTTGCATTAAAAAAAAAAATTAAGGACTATTTTTATAATTATGTAAAATTTTCTCTAAACAGTCAATATTAGGTGGTGGCCGATACAAGGAGAATCCACCCTATTGATGAATGTATTACCTCTTAGCTATACTTTTTTATGTTATAGCTTTATGAATTTATAAAGTTGCCTAATTTCATTAAAAATAAAGAATTAAATATTTAGATAGATTCTGTAAGAGGTCTATTAAACAATAGATTAAGCTTCATTACATTGTTTAGTATATTTAAGATGGATTGTATCCTAATAACAATTAAAGTTAAGGTTTACATTAAATTTAACAATATCTGTCAAGCTGATTTTAACATTAAAAGAGGAATGCATTTTGCTATCCTACTTATTTGCATAGTAAAAATTATACCTTTAATAAGCAAATCTTGGGCGGTTATAGTTACAGTTAAAGTTGCAACATTATCTAAAATTAATCATATTTTTTTCATATGTGATCTTTATAGTAAGTTGGCTCAACTGAGCCTGAAAATGTTATTGTTACTTTATCAATAATATATGTATGTCTATCCCGTTGCACACGTGCGGAAATATATTGGAATGGCACAAGAAAGTAAACAACAATGAATAAACACCATTAATGAAGAATTAATTCAACAATTTAAAATAATTTTGAATAGAAATAATGTGTCAATTTGCTGTAGCGCCTTAAGTCAGTTATCTGTTAAATTATCCAACATCTTAAAGTACAAAGTATGTAATAATTTATAGCATATTTAAATGTAATTATCTAGAATTCAACACAAATTGAAAGATTCAGATTATGACACTTATCAATTTGTGTTGAATCAAACTTGTTTGCTAAATTATTCAACATATAAAAAGTTTTTATATATAATGTATAATACTTTATAGCAGATTTAAATGTAATTATTATTAATTCAACACAAATTGAAAAGGTTCACATTAAGAACCTTGTCAATTCATATTCATTTTAACAAACCTCCACTGGATATCTGAATTTTATCAGGAAAATGAAAACGCAGCACATCAGGTGGCACCGATAAGTTATATTTAGTATCAGGTGCTGGGTGAACATCAATATGGGTGATCTGATTTGTGCTCCCTCCATATCGGATAATAGCTCCTACTATTAAGCCTGAAAATAAGACAAACAAAAATTTATTAACAATAACTTGTATGTTTGTCACAAATTACTATTATTTAAAGCAGGTATGGGCAATCTTGGACATGTTGTGGGCCAAACTTTAAGTGAGCAAATATGTTCATGGGCTGCATTGAAAAGTAGTACATTTTAAAAGTAGTGTTGCAGTGCTCATAATTTTTAGCGATAGATATCACATTTGAAATAATATGACAATGTTATTATAAATTAGGTTATTTCAAAATGTCTCGTGCGCCGGATCGGGCCCACAGGCTGGCTGTTGCCCACCATGGATTTAAAGTAATCATTTATTTGATATTCAGTTGTAAAAAGATATTGCTTGAAAATAAATATTTATTTATTATCCTCAAATATAGTCAAGATGGTTCAATTATCAAGCAAACTCTTTGTTTACTTTTTACTGGGTTTATGTTTTAATTGAAATGTATTGTCAAAAATAAACCAAATGAAGCAGTATCTAAGGAGAGATTTAAAAAGATTACAAATTCACAAGGTCGGGGAAATGATTGAAAGAGTGTAGGAAATGGGAGACTATGTTTTGTGATGTTACAGAATGCAATTAATATCAATTACTTTTGCTTGCATGAACTTACCGTATATTACAGCTAAACCAGTTTCATGAAGCCAACTAACACGTCGATGTTTAAATACCCAAATAGTTAAGACGGTAAGAGTGAGGAGACAAGTATAAATTAGGAGATTTAAACTGTCGATGCGATGTAATAATGTTGCCTTTGCGTCTAAAGCTATATCTGTACCAGAAGCTTGACATGATGAGATGGCTTTTAGAAAAAGGCATGTTACAATAATAATTCTCATCTTTTGTCACGAACACTATTCGAAAATAAACAAATTACGAGATCATATCACGCAAATCAATACGGATTATATACAAGTTTTGCGGTACGTAATTGTACTAATAACAAAAATTCTATCTAACACAAGACAGCAAAGTTGATAACTTTTAATATTTATTATAAATACGACTGCACCTTGGATATTTACAAAGAGAAGCTAGCAAAAACTAATGATAATAGAAATTTACAGACATTTCGACGGAAAATAGCAAAATCTTATTGGCGATTTATTGATACAAATCTGACATTTAAACAGGGCTGCCTACACTCAAGTGTGTACACTTTTGTCTACACTCAAATGTCACTTTTCTCGGGTGCGCCCATACGATATATCACTCTTGACCCGAGAAACTGACAAGTGAGTGTAGACAAAGTGTTTCTCGAGTTTGTCATGCTATGCGTTCAGGAGAGCGCACTTATTTTAAAGCAGAGAATTTTATAGTAGAAAAAGAATTACAATTAATATTGGAACAATTTTGAAGAGTTTAATTTATATCTGACTGTTGATTTTGTATCTAATTACACAAGACGATCTATATACAAATAGGATGGTACTTATGATTATTAAAATAAATAGTTAAAATTCGGTAGCCCCATCTATGTTAAAAGTTGTTTTATTTATTGTAATCAATTAAAGACAAAGAAATTTAGCCCATACAGCTTAGTCTTATATACCTAATTTTATGAGAAAATAACTCTTTTTGATCGTCTGCTATACTTTCACGCCTAGATCTTTTCAGCAGATAACCATATGTAAAAATTTTATACAATAATAAGCTTTCTAGAGACTAAAGATGTCGATATATTCTACTACCTAAACTATATAGATTTCTGGCAATCTTTTTTGTTATTCATAATGTGATGAGTAAAGGAATGAAAATTAGTGTCTTTCGGGTGCTTTCGGCTGAACCGACTGAACTATCCTTATTACACACATACACACATACACACATTTATTCTAATAGAAACACATAGCATTTATTTTAATGGTCGAATCAAGAAGCATATTTCAGTAAAAATATATAAGTTTCTTTTTAATTTCTTTGATCGAACTAAAGAGAAAATAAATTGAATTTCATTAAATGAAATATTTTTACACCCTTTCATTAATTGGAATTCATTTTCAAAGCGAAGACTGCATTTAAATGAATTTTCGGTAATTTAAAGCTTCACGTTTAGTTTTTGTAGTATTTCTTAATTTTTGACATCACTAATACAACTTATGTTTTTTTTAAATACTTCTTCATTACAATGAGGAAGTATTTAAAAAAAACGAAAGCAGTAAAAAAGCTCCTCCACTAGATGGCGACTCTGGCAAAAGTTGATTTTTGAAGGACCCGAATGGACCAAAGGCAGTCATTTCCGTTTCATTTTAACTAACATATTAAAAAACTGAAATTTGAAAAGTTCATAACTTTGATATCAATACAAATACGAAATAGTACAAACAGAATATGAGTTGTTTATGAGTTTTGAAAACTAATTTACTTTTAAACATAAAAGGAAACCGGAAGGGTTGTCATGGAGAAATCAAGAACGTACCGTAGCGACATCTAGTTTGATTTCGGAAACTTATGTTTTTTTTTAAATACTTCCTCATGTTTCAGAGTTATCAGTCCTGTCCTATATTACGTCTGTGATCATAAGTCTACAGACACCACTTTCACATTCAGATTTCGCGCCAAAATGCATATTTAAGTTATTAGGAATTGGCTCATTCAGTGTAATGGTAACAAGGAAGTATTAAAAAAAAATAGTTCCCGAAATCAAACTAGATGTCGCTACGGTACTTCCTTGATTTCTCCATGACAACCCTTCCGGTTTTCTTTCATGTAAATTAATTTTCAAAACTCAATAAAGAACTCATATTCAATTTGTAATTTTTCTTATTTGTATTGATATATAAATTTCGAACTTTGCAAATTTCAGTTTTAAATATGTTAGTTAAAAAGAACGTAAATGGTCCAATCTATTCCTACAAACGTCAACTTGGTAGAGTCCCCATCTAGTAAGGTGCATTTATAGTGCTTTTTTTTTCTTAAAATACTTCCTCAATGGAAAACTTCTTTTTTGTTTTCCTTCCTAAATCTTTTTTTGTTGATGCTTCATGGAGTTTACGGTGCCAATCGAAAAGATTTAGGAAGGAACACAGGGAAACCCATATCAAAGATGACACCTAACGCATATCTTTCATTTCTTGTATTATCTTGGTCATAACCATTTATTTTGAAAAATAATATAACTTTTACGAACTAAAAGAACAAACAACTAAAAATCAATAAAAGAAACAGATTCTGGATATAGGCAGTTTGGAGTAGTGGTAAACTAAATTTTGTAGAGGTCGGGCATCTAAGACTCTCGTATTCTGTAATTTTCCCCAGCGTTCTCCCAGCACCACAAAGCTTGTCTTTGTTAAAGTAAAATAAGTTTATATTAGACACGTACTTACAGAGGAAAACAATGTAGCTTAAAAGTTCCCTGGGTAATTATTTGAATTTGAAAAGTAGAAACTCGTATGCAGAAGAAGAAGATTTCTAATAAAGTCCTATGAAGTTTGATCAAGTAATGGCGTCTAATGAAATATAATGAAGTCTTGTGAAGTATGAGGATGGTTAATGAGATTTAATGAATTATATTTGATACACCATCTAATGAAGTCCGATAAAACTCTGATAAAGTCCAGTTTCACTTTCTTATTATTGCCTTGCGAAGGGTGTGAAGAGTATGTATTCGCCTTTGGAATAAAGGTTGTGGTTTTGGGCTGATTGAATCCCTTCTCCCAGGACACCATATGTAAGTGAAGTCGTGGACAGAAGCTACTAAATTATATTATAGTTATTTGATATGCCTTACCTTGACGGCTATTTAATATTTCTGATATTATTAAAAAGACGTATTACATAATTAGCCCTACCTAATCATAATCATCTGACCTTACGGCCTTACCTTGCCTTACCTTGACGGCTATTTAATATTTCTGATATTATTAAAAAGACATATTACATAATTAGCCCTACCTAATCATAATCAATCATAATCATCAGCCCTTTTTACGTCCCCACTGCAAGGGCTCAGGCCTTCCTTATGGATGGTTAAGGAGGATGGGCCATGACCCTCCACGCTGGCCCAATGCGGATTGGAGGGTATTAACGACTGCAAATGCAGCCGGGACCAACGGCTTAACGTGTCTTCCGAAGCACGGAATAGCTCGAGATAATAATTTTTTGGTCACCCATCCCGTGACTGACCCTTGCGAAAGTTGCTTAACGACTACTATCACGGGCCGCGGCGCTTATCCACTACGCCATCGAGCTACTCAGCCCTACCTACCTACTTAAAAGTGACGTCGCACATAAGTTTAGGAAAATATCAACGGGAAATTGGTAATGAATGACTAAACTTATTGGTTATTTTAAAATGCTATACATGTATAGGAAAAAACAGACCTAAAACCCCCGAGATATAATAATAATAATAATAATATTCTTCATTGCACGCTAGACAGGACATAATACAGAGAAGATAGAAAAAAAGAGAAAGATTACAAAGGGCGTTCTTATTGCTACGTAGCAATCTCAAAAACATGAACTATATAATAAAAAGAGGGGGGTGCAAGATGAAATAAATTCGGAAATACTAGAAGGAGATTGTAGAATTACGTAAAACTTGACGTAAAAATTTGAAGGTAAAATTTGACGTATCAGTTTTGCATTAGCAGTGGACCAATAGTAGGGTAATTATAAAATGTATAATTATTAACGGTCTAATCAAACATAATATATAGTTTTTCAAGACCTTCGCCTCAGAGTCCACTCTACTGCTTTCACTTAATATGTTTATACAAAATAAGTTTGTTGGCTTATTGAGGGGTTTCGTTTGCACAATTATGTTTATGAATTATTTTAGATCGCGATGCTTGTTCCGAAAGAAAAAAGGGAGAATAAAACAGTACAAGAAATAGAGTCATAATAAACTCAAAGGAAAGGACCTTTACCATATTAATAGACCAGAGAGCATAGGAAGGGAGAGGTAAGTTGATAGTATGCCTGTGTGCACATAATGTTCCGACTTCAGATGTAGCGAGGTCTATTTCGTAGTCAAGACGTTGCGGTCAGCAGCGTACAACATGACAACACGCTCACTCTAATTTAGCCGCAACTTTCTGGTTAAGAATGCAATAAAATGATTAGGGTACAAACCCTTTAAGATTTTGTATGATTAGAATAATAAGGTTGGGAACGAACCTTGGTCATGATTCTTGGATAAAATAGAATTATAACGCACAATAACATGTTAATCAGACATTACGTGTAAGGTACTATACTATCGCTAATAAAAGTAGCACCTAATTAGTTTTAAAAATGTAACAGCCATTCTGGGTCTATGTCACTAGAACAGATTTGAATATCATTAGTAGGCTCCGACAACGTGGAACAGTGACCTAATTTCAACTGAAGGCCATCGGTTGAAGGTTAAATTTTGCCTCAGCTGAATATTATCTTATATTTGTGAACGCAATTGATTACAACTCTTAAGTATGCGAAAACTATTTCGTTCAAGTTTTATATTTAATATGTAGATTATCCATACTTGTTTATGGAGAGGATTTAAGATTATTATTTGTGTGTAGTTTACCGAGCGTGCTAACGAAATGACCGACAGTAAAACTTCGTGTTTTTTTGTAATTTGGTCATTGTCATTTGAATCTTCGTGAACCATATATTTTTAATAAACATATAGGTACTAGAATTTGCACAAAATGCATAACTTAATAAGAAGAATTTCATTTAACTCACTATAGAAGATCGGCATAATTAGCGAATGAAAAAATTTGGAAAGTGAAAAGAATGCCGGTATTTTTAGTAAGGAAGAAGTTCCTGTAATGCTTTTTTTTTAATAAAAATAGCCAGTGGCGGACTTACACTAATATAACTGTAGGCCTTCTAGGGCGGCCAGATATTA